CAATCTAAAGAACCAATTCAACATGCAAAGAACCTTTAGAAATGCTCAAAAGCGTTAAATGGCTCTATACAGAACCGTTCACTAAAGAACTCTGAAGAACTTTCTTTTTGAAGTGTTTAACTTACACAAATATCCTATTCTGCTGTTTTGTACGGAAGTCCAGAGAGGCCATAAGGTAGTTATCATTTTCTGGATTGTTATCTTGAGATAACAAGATAATTATCTTGTTATCTCCAGATAACAAAGTTGTTATCTTGAAATAACGAGTTGTCTTGCTATATCAAGATAACAAAAGTTATCTTGAGATGAGTTCATTGTCTTGTTATCTCCAGATAACAAAGCTTTTATCTTGAAATAATGAGTTAGTTATCCTGTTATCTCGTGATAACAAAAGTTGTTATCGTGAAATAAGGAGTTAGTTATCTTGTGATAACAAAAGTTGTTATCTGGAGATATAATGATAAGAAATAAGAAGTTAGTTATCTTGTAATCTTGTGATAACAAAAGTTGTTATATGGAGATAATGAGTTAATTATCTTGTGATCTCAATATAACTAAGTTGTTGTCTTAAGATAATGAGTTAATTATCTTGTTATCTCTAGATAACCAAGTTGTTAACAAGATAACAGGTTATTTCAAGCTATCTTGAGATAACAAGTTGTTATCTTGAGATAATGAGTGAATTATCTAGTTCTCTCAAGATAAATCTTTTATCTTGAAATAATGAGTTGGATATCTTGTTATCCTGAGATAACAAAACTTGTTATCTTAAGATCTTAAGATAGTTAACTCGTTATCTCAAGATAACAATCCAGAAACGGCTCCTGGTCTCTCTGGACGTCCGTGGTTTTTGAATGGATTCAGAGTCTTTGAGAGAGAATCCGGCTGCTGCTGAGAGCTGCTGCTGTCTCAGCCGTGGTGAAGATGCCGTGTGGTCATGTTTCAGGGCTGAAGGTGGACGGTCTGTACCGCCGCTGCGGAACCGCCACTAAAATCTCCCGTCTGGTGGAGCAGCTGCGTTTGGCTCCAGCTAACGCTGTCCTGGGAACAGATGAACTGGACGTGGTGGACGTGGCTGGAGCTCTCAAACTGTTTCTGAGACAAATGCAGGAGATCATACCGTCATCAGAGAGGAGCGACTGGGTGAAGGCAGCAGGTAACGAACTCTGACACAGCTAAACCACAGCTTACTGCCACACAGTCATTACAGGATCAGTCACTGCTCTTACAGAGAGGGTTCTTCAGGGGTTCTTTAGTAAAGAAAATGACTGTGCAGAACCATGAACACTCAAAGAACCTTTTACAGGATTAAAGGGTTCTTTGCATCATGAAATGGTTCTTCAGATTGATGGAGAATGTGCTGTAGATGGTTCTATACAGAACCTTTTTGAAACGGGTTCTATATAGCACCAAAAAGGTTCTTCTACTGTTACAAGCTTAACATAATAATAGAAGAACCCTTTTGGGTGCTACATAGAACCTTTTGTATGGTGAACGATTCTTCAGATTGATGGAGAACGTGCTGTAGATGGTTCTATACAGAACCTTTTTGAAATGGGTTCTATATAGCACCCAAAAAGGTTCTTCTACTGTTACAAGCCTAACATCATAATAATAGAAGAACCCTTTTGGGTGCTACATAGAACCTTTTGCATGGTGAACGATTCTTCAGATTGATGGAGAATGTGCTGTAGATGGTTCTATACAGAACCTTTTTGAAACGGGTTCTATATAGCACACAGAAGGGTTCTTCTACTGTTACAAGCTTAACATCGTAACAGTAGAAGAACACTTTTGGGTGATACATAGAACCCTTTGCTAGGTGAAAGTGTTCTTCAGGTTGATGCTGTAGATGGTTCTATACAGAACCTTTTTGATAAGTGTTCTATATAGCACCAAAAGGGTTCTTCTACTGTTGCAAGCTTATCATAATAGTAGAAGAACCATTTACATGGTGAAATTACTGTCTGACTCATGTAGACCCAGAGTTTCCCCATTATCTGATTACTCAAGTGCATATAAACGCGTTGATCGGATTACTGACAAAATCTGATTTTCTGCAGTTATCGGATAATTAAGTGCATGTAAACACTCACTGAGACGTCCAAGCGTTTGATTTGTCCTCTGTTTCTTTTTAAACTGTTTATATTCACAATAATCATAATCATTTCTCTAATTGATCATCTTTGCTGGAGTATTTTGTTCATTCTTAACCTCAGAAAATGTAAACATGACGGATGTTTTGTATTATTTTCCAGGTCACGCTCACGAGACTCAGAGGCTTCCGCAGTATCGCAGTCTGGTGAAGCGCCTTCACCCCGACAACAGAGCCACACTGGCCGCTCTGTGTGGTCACCTCTATGTGTAAGACATCAAAAACTGTTATAATATTGTTATTATTGTTATTATAGCACTGATGAAAGCTTTAATGCTGTAAATAAGATGCTGTATTTGATTCCTGCTGGTTCTGTACTGTTTGTGCTCAGAGTGCAGCTGCACAGTCAGGTGAACCGCATGACGGCTCATAACCTGGCGGTGGTTTTCGTTCCCACGCTGTTCCAGGAGCTCGCCATGAACACTGACGTGGTCCGACTCACCAAGGAGCTCATCATCCATCACACGCTCGTCTTCCTGGTGAGAGCTTGTGTTTCTGTCCTTCACAGACTTCCTCACTTCAGCAATCCCTCTTCATTTATGTGATTTCCAGTCAAAACGGCCACAAGTTATTTATTTTTCAGATATTTCTGATGAGACTATAAACACCGATCAGGCATAACATTCTGACCACCTCCTTGTTTCTACACTCATTGTCCATTTTATCAGCTCCACTTACTATATAGGTGCACTTTGTAGTTCTACAGTTACAGACTGTAGTCCATCTGTTTCTCTGATACTTTGTTAGCCCCCTTTTACCCTGTTCTTCAGTGGTCAGGACCCCCATGGACCACCACAGAGCAGGTACTATTTGGGTGGTGGATCATTCTCAGCACTGCAGTAACACTGACGTGGTGGTGGTGTGTTAGTGTGTGTTGCGCTGGTCTGAGTGGATCAGACACAGCAGTGCTGCTGGAGTTTTTAAACACCTCAGTGTCACTGCTGGACTGAGAATAGTCCACCAACCAAAAACATCCAGCCAACAGCGTCCTGTGGGCAGCGTCCTGTGACCACTGATGAAGGACTAGAGGATGACCAACACAAACTGTGCAGCAGCAGATGAGCTATCGTCTCTGACTTTACATCTACAAGGTGGACTGACAAGGTAGGAGTGTCTAATAGAGTGGACAGTGAGTGGACACAGTGTTTAAAAACTCCAGGAGCACTGCTGTGTCTGATCCACTCAGACCAGCGCAACACACACTAACACACCACCACCACGTCAGTGTTACTGCAGTGCTAAACAAAACAAACAAAACACTGCATCTCTAAAACAGTAACTTTACAGAAGGAAAACATTTTCTTAATAGAGAATTTTTATTGCAGCTAATTTTGGATCATTTCTATTTGTAGACTCATCATGAAATGAATAAATATTGGGGGCCTCTGACTTTTGCACAGTGCACACATACAAAGGGCTTTTTAACTGTCAACCACATTTTTATAAATAAGAAATTCTTGTTACAATTTACTGTTCATGTTTATTTATGTGTATTTACTCTTTATTCTGGTGTTGTATTAAAGCAATAAGCCACTTGAGGGGGTGCATTACTGTGATTTTATCACCTTTCCTGTGGTAAAATCACAGTAATGCACCCCCTCAAGTGGCTTATTGCTTTTATAAAACAGCGGCCAACATAAAATATGATAAAATGTTCTGAAAATAATTTGGTAACACTTTCTATGAATGTCACCTTTGTAAGCATCTATAAACACATTCATAACATGTTATAATGCATTCATAAGGCATCAAACATGGCTATAAATATTTATAAAAATGCATTACATGTTATAGCCATGTTTATTATGCATTATGAATTGTTGACATATTACATTATAAGTACTGATCATAAATTATAAGAGCTCATAAGTCGTATTTGTCCGCTCTAAGTAAAGTGAAGCGTACTGTACTAAAGCCTCCTCCAGTGTTCAGAGTGAGGCTTCAAGTTGAAGTATTTACTGAAGGATTTACTGAAACACTAAAACATTCACAGTAAAGCACATTACAGGCTTCAAATGTCAGAGTTTAAACTAGAGCTGCCATCAGTGTTTTACCCAATGTGGGAAAGGTAATGTTCACCACCGTTAGCTTGGTATTTGTCTTTACGTTTTCCAAGCTGGGACTGACTTCTTTGGCACTGACATTATAACGTTATTAACACTGCTTATAATGCATTATATTAACAATTCATAATGTATAATAAACATGGCTATAAAGTGTAATCCAGTGTATCCATTTTTATAAATGTTTATAATCATGTTTATAATGTCGTATGAAAGCATTATAACATTTTATAAATGTGTTTATAGATGCTTACAAATGTGACATTCATAGAAAGTGTTACCAATAATTTATTATTAATAATAATCGACATAAGTACTTCGCCAAGAAATGTCGTTCCTTTAGAAAACGGCAGTTTTAAACAAAACTCCAGCTGCCCTTTACGACGTGTGAAAATTCCATGAAGAATGGACCAACAGAAAAAAGACCCAAATAAAGATGAAACTGTAATTCATTTGTGTTCCGTTGTGTTCAGAGTAAAGAAGAGGTTCAAGATGAAGAAGAAATGATCACCGTATTCTGAAGAACAGAGCACTGACCATCCTCCTGTGCGTCCGGCGGCCACTGCAGCACTTTTACACTTATTTTTTAATCCTTGGAGAGGCTGGACACGTTCTGCACTCAGAACTGTTTTTAAAAGACTGTACATTTATATATTTGATGTATGAAGTGTTTGAAATATAAGCAGCCACTTCATAAGTAGACTTTATTGTTTATTACAGTTACAGAATTACTGTGAAATCACAATGTGGAGCAAAGTAAGGAAGTGAAAAGCACACATAGCTACAGTAATGTCTCGTTTATTATGAGTATTATTTCTTCAGGTATCAGGGAAGAGAAAGTGGATCTTTCTTACATTTACAAGCAAACACTGTATAGTAAATCAATCAACTGTATATTTACATACTGTCAAATGATGTAATCTTTCTTTTATTTGTGAAACATTGAATCAGCAGACTGAATCACAGCTGTCTAAGATCACACTACTGTAAATAAGCATTTACCTCACATATAAACACATTACGACCAGGTTTCTCTATGGAGCACAACAAAACGAAGGAAGAGAAAGGTTTAATATCTGGGCCTCTTCACCTCCACCCTGAAACAGAGACATTACAAATGTTAAAGGCACATTAATCACAATGAGAGAAGCGGGTTTGGATTAATAAAGCATGTTTATCAGTTTGTTTTTATCTTCAGTTTTAAGTTATTGGATATTACAGTCCTCCTCACTGCTGCCTGTTAAAACCTCTCTCAACCTCAGCCTACACCAGGGGTCGCATGCCAAATGTTAAGAAGAGCAATTTATTCCTTTTAACAAAATCAAACCACCTTGGGAGCCACAACATTATATGTCCATTATGTGTTGATGTACTAGTGTAGGCTAAAAATATAAACGAAAGCGCAGACTTACTTTGCTCTGCTTTAAGCTTTAGCTCAGCTATAGCCGCTGTTCTCACATCTCAGGCAGGAAACTTTTCCACAAAAGTAGAACAGTTTCTTGTAAAATGTCTCTTAACATTCAAATTTTTACGAGGCTGAAGTCGCGTCTCATTCGCCAGCTTCTTGTCTGAATTTTCCCGTTCCACCTTAAATGGTGCCTGAGGCGGCAGAATGTTACTGCTGCACCTTTTAAGGTGAAACGAGAAAATTCGAAGAAGAAACTGACTTTGCAACTTGAGAGTTTCTTGTTCAGAATAAACGTATCCGGAAACCAGCTGGAGTGATTATAAATGCAAATAAGTCCATTCATCTCCAAATTATCGATGTTCATCTTAAATCTCTCTCTTTGCCGTTTCGTTAGCTACTAGCTAGGCGAGACTGTTGTCTGTGTTGCTATGGTGACCAGCAGTCTGTGCTGATCTTCAGGGTTAAAGGGTGAATTACCAGTTCTACATTAACTCCAGAGTTTAAGACCATTTACTGTTAAACTGTGTTGAACGATCAGCAGAGCTTTATTTTACTGTAAAGGAGGATTATTTTATTTTTACCTACAAATCTAATTCAGCTGTGGAGCCACAACAGGGCAGTAAAAGAGCCGCATTCTGCCGAAACCCTACCTACACAATTATTCTCAACAGGTGAGGCACTGAACAGGCAGAGTGTCACTAAGAGTCAACATGTGTGATCTAAACGCATATTAAGCAGGACGTTTCTTTTGGATAGAGGGAGAATTGAGAAAGATACTGACCCATCAGCCTCCATCTTCTTCCTCTTTTCGATGATCTGAGGACGAGACAAAAACAAAATACATTGTGTAACTATACATGTATAAATCAAACTAGTGTGTGTATATTATATATATATATATATATATATATATATATAAATATAAAAATGATAATGGACTCAGTTTACATTTTCTTACATTAATTTATCCCCTGAAGTTGGTTTATTACATGTGTGTAATTTGGGAGAATAATGTAATATAACAAAGAGAACATAGTGTAACAATGCATAGAAGCATATAGTCTAATAATGCAGATAACAAAGACAGTTTATAATGCATATAATTTTAAGAGTGTTGTGTAATAACGTAATGTAAAGAGCATATAGTGTAATGATGCATATAATATAAAGAGCATAAAATACTGTAATGATTCATCATTAAAGACTGTAGTCTAAATGTATATAATGTACAGAGCATATCATCGCCGTCAGAACAAAACATAATATCTCCAAAACAGTAACTTTACAGGAGAGGGAAAAAAAAATGTTCTTAAGTTTTAATGAAAGTTAATGAAGAAAAAATTTATTTCAAATAATTTTGGATCATTTCTACTGGTAAATTCAACAAGAAACTTTGACTCAACGTAAAGGGCAGCTAGAAAGTTCAAATTACATCAACAAATGAAAAACATCAAAAATAGAGATACAAGATTTTGTCCTGACAGCAATGATATAGAGCATATGGTGCATTTACAGAACACTTACAGCGCTGATTTTTTTCCACTGCCTGTCCAGCTCTGCCTTCTCGTTGGTTTCTTTGAAGCGGCGAGTCTTCCTTCCCTCGGACATCTTTATTCCGTACTGGAAAGCTGCCCTAGAGGGGAAAAACGCAATGAAAGCTTTGCTGTCGATGTCTGAATAGAGTAGAGCGCTGCTGTTCTATAGCAAGAGCGTGAGCAGGTGTGTGTGCAGGTTTGGTTGCCTACTTTGGTAGAGCCTCTTTATTGTTCATGTAGTCGCTGTACTCCTCCTGAGTGTCAAAATCCCAGCGACCCAGAGGCCCCTTCTTATTACCCTGCACAAAAACAACAAAGAAAATCTTCAGCATCACAGAAAAGTAACCTCTCAGCCATAAAGCCAGTGATGAGGGCTGCAACGATTAGTCAACATCATTAGTCCATTATTAGTCAATAACATTGACTGTTAAGAGGGATTTATATAGTTGACGCATAATTCAACAAATGCTCTCTATAATGTTCATATGATCCACACAGTAACTGACAGACTGTAATACACTACAGGAAGTGTAGGGGGCGATATGGCTTCTACTGTTTCATTTAAAAAGCCTCTATAATGTTCATATGATCCACACAGTCATTCTGACAGACTGTAATACACTACAGGAAGTGTAGGGGGCGATATGGCTTCTACTGTTTCATTTAAAAAGCCTCTATAATGTTCATATGATCCACACAGTCACTCTGACAGACTGTAATAGACTACAGGAAGTGTAGGGGGCGATATGGCTTCTACTGTTTCATTTAAAAAGCCTCTATAATGTTCATATGATCCACACAGTCATTCTGACAGACTGTAATACACTACAGGAAGTGTAGGGGGTGATATGGCTTCTACTGTTTCATTTAAAAAGCCTCTATAATGTTCATATGATCCACACAGTCACTCTGACAGACTGTAACACACTACGGGAATATAATGCAAAGTATAAACATGGGGATATAAAAACAGCTCACCTGGTCCATCTTACTGTAGTCCACCTCTTCATCACTGTCTACAGCCAAATCATCCATTCTACATATAAAACACACATTTTAAGACGTTTTTAAAATATTCTCTCGCCTCCTCAGTACAGTTTCCACTTCAAAAATCGCTGAACTGTTCTTCTGTTTTGACAGTTGCAAGCAACAAATCACACTGAACAGGTTCATCATCTCTGCTATAAATATATGCATACTGTACTTTTTTAAAGTACATTATATGATCAGCTAAACAGTTCACCAATCTTATAACGCACCATTTAAATCCTAATGCAAAACTGGTACAGTATGGTGACTATAAAGGGTCCATGTTCTACGTCATTTAATTTTTCTCACTGAGGTCTACGTATAATGTTTGTGTGGTTTTATATACCAAAACCAGTCATAATTCATTTTTCCATGATAATTATTCAAACTCTGTGTTGTTAAGATTACTATCTGTAAACAAGCTCTGTTCTAAATTGGCTTCCCTGTATTGTTTGTTCAAAAGTTCAAATAACTGCTATAAACTGTATGCTGCAAGAATGCTCTTCCTTTTGAAGAGGGCAAATGGGCGGGGCTAAACTGCAGAAGGCCAATTGTAAATATGATATATGTAACTATGTACATGGTTGTGATATCACAGGCATAATGAATTAAAAAGGGTTTAGGCAGCCTGGTTTAAATATATGGGCTGTATTTAGTAACTCAAACTCCTATTTCACTCATAAAGCAAAGGAAAATAAGTGTTCTCTTGATAAAGAAAATAAACAGGCAACTTTTATTTTTGCAGCTTGTGGTTTGCTGCTGGTTGACTCACGTGGCAGGGTAGCACTCAGCGTAGCTGTTGGACATGCCGAAGAAATCTCCCAAGTGCTTCTTCTCCTCGCGCCTCGTCCCAGCTGTGTTCAGCAGTTAAAGATGTACAAACACAAACCAAACAGAAAACGCAGACTACAGACCTATCAGAGCAGACAGAGACTGTCTGGGTCCAGATTACACCGTCCACCAAAAGTCTGGGGACGCAAAGCAAAATGAGGGCCCGTACTACGAAACCTTAAAATCTCACCGACAGTCACTCAGGTCTGCAGACATTAAGCACAGTCAGTCTCGGGTCAAGCATTTTGCATCTTGAATTAAAGTACTCACAATGAGATTCACTGAAAAACGGCAGTACAGAAGTCTAAAGAATGTCACCTGAATGTCTGACACGCTTCAAATGTTCGCGTTTCAGTCAGACATCGTGTCAAACCCAGGCTGAGAACCCAAACGGCTCCGTACTCCCTAGCTAAATAGTGAGCTGTGTAACATTAAGTTTAGAAATTCTAGCTTCTGCTGTCAAATAGTGACCGCCTGTCGAGTATGAATGTGGATGAACCCCAATTGACATTTTTAGCGATATTTTTCTCTGTTGGGCTGCAGGAGTCCGTATTTAAATTTCTACGTAGTGCACTATGTAGGGAGCAGGGAGCTGTTTGAGATTCAGCCCCAGTGTGAGAAAAGTGGCGTCGTCAGTCTGACAGAAGACTCGCGGTGGTAAATTGGTGACCAAAAAGTCCTTATAAACAAAGTATTTGCCTTAAACAGTGCTGTGTTATTCTATGTTCACTGTTACACGAAAAAAGTTAATCATGAAAATCATGAAATGTCTGCAGTAAAGTACAGAGGATGGGCGACCGAATGTTCTTCTCATTCAGCGGTCAATGGCTGCTTAGCAAAGACACCGTACTCTAAAGAAACTATATTTCTTGGCGGAATACTTGTTTATTTCGATTATTATTGATAATAACTTAAATAATTATTCAAAACACCCTGTATTTGAATATATTTTATGTTGGCCACCATTTTATAAAAGTAATAAGCCACTTGAGGCTGTGAGTTACTGCGATTTTATCACGGGGAAGGGAGTTTTACTCTGCTTCGCGTCGTGCCGAAAAACACCCTCCACAGTGAAAAAATCTCAGTAACCCAGAGCCTCTCGTGGCTTATTGCTGTAATATACATCAGTAAACTTTATTCTAATTGGCTGTGCTCATTAAAAAAATAAATAAATAAATAAATAAATAAAAAAACAGTCCAGACTAAAACACTCCTTTTATCTTTAGAGTGAATGGACGGAGCTAAACCGCTGTAGGGTGAACGGGTGGATATCTGTTGCCCTTTTAAGAAAGCACTGTTTTTGCCGTTATCTTCTCACATATGAATTGAGGAGTAAACAGTATGTTTCTAAAACAGTATGGGCTTGTTAACAAACGTTCACATACATCAAACTCTTATTTCAAAAAAGTGAGACTTTGTTTCATAATATGGGCCGAAAGTTATATATAATTTATGAAGAAAAGTGGTAAGCGTCTCCTCTAGGCAGCCAAAAAAATAAATGAAATAAATATCAGTTAGAACAGAGTGGATGTGCAGCAGGATTTCCTGCGAAAGAGGTGCTCAAGCCAAGATGAGCAGGAAATCTAAAACCCTGAGCGGAGTGGGAGCCGAGTAATTACAGAACGTTTTGTTCTCCGCTCCACTCACATTAAGCTGCATGCTTACAGAAAAGGAAAGGATATGTTTCCTGCCAGTGTGTCGCTGCAGCTCCTGCAAACTTCTCATTGATGAGTTTAATCTGATCCTTCACTGATCCTGGACCTGTGCAGACAGCAAGGAGTGAGGAGAGAAAGTGGCAACAGAACCCAGAAGAACCAAATCAGACATACATGTCTACATCATAATCTGCCTCAAACCCTGTGGAGTTGCTCCACATTCCATAACAGACTTTATTATGAGGATTATTAGTACAGTGCTCAACACTCCACACATTTTGAGGCACGAAGCTTTAGGCTACGTTCACATTACCGGGTTGAAGTGGCACAAATCCGATTTTCTGCCCTAATGTGACTCAGATCTGATGTTTTCAGAGCTGTGTGGACACAAATCTGATCTTTTCAAACCGACCTGTGCCACTTTCATATGTAGTCCTAGATCGGATAAGTATCTGATTCGTGGCCTTGCGACCTTAATGTGGCGCTCAGATCAGAATTCATGTGCTTTTTTCCGCTGCACTGCGCCATCATTCAGCGTTACCATGGCAGCAGCGCCGAACAGAAGTTAAAGCCTGTAAACGGTGGAAAAGCAGCTCATCTCACCTTTTTCTCCTTCGTCTCGCTCTAATAATGAAGCTGAGAGCTGATCAGAGTTAATGATCTTCTCAGCGAAGCTCGTTCTGCTCGTTAGTTTGTGCTGATGATGAACGTGATTCATTAATGTGACGTTACTGAGTAGGTTGTGAGCATGAGGGTCATTTCAGGACGCCGGTTCGTTCACATCAATGACCGATTTAAATCACTTACCTAAACGAGTGTGAACCATCGTGTCAGAGAGATCGGATTTGAGCAAAAAAAAATCGCATTTGAGCAACGAGGCTTGTAATGTGAACGTAGCTAAATTCCATGTTTTTGATGAATTTCTAAAACTATGTTCACATTACATGTGCTTTTTTTCCACTGCGCGTGACCATCATTCAGCGTTACCATGGCAGCAGCGCCGAACAGAAGTTAAAGCCTGTAAATGGTGGAAAAGCAGCTCATCTCACCTTTTTCTCCTTCGTCTCGCTCTAATAATGAAGCTGAGAGCTGATCAGAGTTAATTATCTTCACATATAGATCAGATTTGAGCAAAAAATCTAATTTGAGCAACGAGGCTTATAATGTGAACATAGCCAAAGATGGCTTCCAATTCGCCAGCTTGAAACTGCTGCACCATTTAGGGCGGAACAGAAAATCTGAATAAGAACCAATCAACCTTTATTTAAACTCAGAATACATTGAGGGAGACCCTCATTTACAATGTTACCGAGTAATACAGGAATCAGAGATTGAGAAGTTGTACATTAAAAAAAATAAATCAAATGCAATAATTAAATAATACAAATCATAAAAGTAAAACTTAATAATAAGAAGGCATCAATAAACTGTTAAATGAATAAACGAAGTTGGTGAACAGAAAGCTAATTTCACTAATATGTTTGAAGAAAGCATGTGATGATTTAGCCATGCAGTTAGCACTATGCTAACTAGAGGGTTGTAATGGTTCATTACTTGTTAGCTACATTAGCCTCGTATTACCAGTGCTAACACTAAAGAAGCAAACTTCAGACACCAAACAGGTCAGGTCAACTACATTTAAGGGGGGGGAAATGAGTAAATCTGTATTGCTGGATTATCAATTTAGACTACAGGAAAGGCCAATCAAGCACCAGCAAATTATTATTACACAGCTATTACTCAGGAGTAACAGCAGATATAAAAGAGCTGCTAACTTGTGCATGTTTGCACAATTTGAAATAAATACTATAAAAAAAAGAGAACAAAATGTACTCAAAATACTAAATATCACAAAAAAACTGGCAGCAAAAAACTGATCAGGAAAACATGACTAAACATACATGTAGTCTCTTAAAAGAAGAACTATTTAGACACTTACCTTTATCAATGTCAACAACCTGTAGAAAAGAAGAAGAAACGATGAGCTCATACGAAGTAGAGCACTCACTGTTCAATGACATTTGTCTGCATGTTTTAGTTTATTATTCTCTTTTCTTTTTATTTGCTGAATCCCAACATACTGCGTAAGAAAGTAAAACAAAATATAAAATGTGCCACAGCTTTTGCACAAGCCACATTCTGTTGAATTTTTCGCCCGAATATGTGATAATACTTATCTGGAGCTGTTATTGATCAGGACAATCACAGCATTCTGACTGATCAGTATTTTAAAAGTCAGTATCACTAAAGTCAATATCAAACTGTTTTAAGCAATCACTGTTATATGAAAACCTCTTTTACAGCATTTGAACACACTGCTCTTTGCACTTTATGTTTAATAAAACAACAGAAATTATCTTAAGCTCTTTAACTCCTTGGGACCACCGGGGGTTCCAAAACGCACTTAGTCATATTCTTTACTTCATAACTTTCATATTTTATAAGCTACATTCTAAAGGTGGGGGTCGTATCAGAGCTGTAACTGTCTTCTTTCCAGTCAAATAGATGGGTGATGTCATTAAAACCCTTATAATAAAATAAGCTGAACTTTTTTTGTTCTACTGAAAGTCGACCCATTTTTCCACAAATCTGGGCTATAAACTATAAACAGATGGCGTCTCTTCAGTGATCTGCTCTGTATAAATTACTTTTATAAAAAAATATATAATTATATAAAAATTACTTTTATAGAAAAAGAGCATCTAAGATTTTTGGCTTTCAGCAGTAAATTGTAAGCATATAGCAATACGTGCATGACCATAAAACACATTTTCTGTTCATTTGAGGTGAGCTTTTACAAAAAAATAAATAAATAAATAAAAAATTACATTTATTACACACATTTACTAAATAATTTGCCTTACGATTTGGGCATGTAAATTCTGATGGGAAAACCGAAATATACCTACGAGCATAAGTGGTCAAACTACCTAGAACAAAATCTCTTTACATCACAGTTACGAATGTTTTTTTCTTTTCTCATAAAGTTACTATTTCAGAGATTCCAGTGTTTCCATCATCATCATCCTCACCTCATCATCAGCTCGAGGTTTCTCGAAGTAGCTGTGACTGTGCTGCCTTTTCTCTTCTTCTCTCTCCCGTTCTCTCTCTCTCTCCCTCTCCCGATCCCTCTCTCTCTCCCTCTCTCGGTAACGCTCCTTCTCTTTCTCCCGTGTAGGTTTGGAAGTGGATGGGATGTAGTCTCCGATATCATCAAAGATACTGAAAACAGAGGATCAAACAGCTGGGGGGTCATTTACAGCTACAAACAACCCTTACATTGAAACAAAAGTCATAAATCAAAAGTCATGATGAAAACATGGAGGTTGTTTAAGGTTTTGGCAAAACAACAGGACTGCAGGTGGGAATATAAACTCAGCTGAGACACAGTGAGTGGAAAACAGGCTAAGGCCCTACAGGAGCTGGATTAGTTTAATCTGGGGAGGTGCTGTAATTTGATCCACGATTTTAATCCAGTATGAATCTGCAACGTCTGCAGTTTTTATAGTCTGCTAAGAAATAATTCTGGACTTAATTACCTTCTATAACTGCCTGAACTCAGAGCTCCTTCAGTAACAGCAGTCCTGCTCGAATCCACATCACAATAATGTAATAAAACCAAGTAACAGAAAACGACACCGCCCTTTTTTTTCTTTTCTGTGACCTGAAGACGAGGCTAACAGCTAAAATTGAACTTGATTTGACCCAGTACCCCAAGCCTCTAGTTCATCACAACACTACCGAAATCTACAGCATTTTTGGAGACGGCCGAATTACAAAAAGACAGTGGTTTTCTGTCTTTTGGGCGGCATTTAGTATGTTGAATGAATCCACTTTACTAGCCTAATGCTAATCTATGTGCCATTTAGCTGCACAATTTTTTTATTTATTTATTTTATTTATTATTTGCACCAGAAGGTACAGTAAATACAAACAAAAAACAACAACAAAAAAGGGAAAGTGTGTGCAGGGAAAGTAAAACAGAAAGGGGTTGGACAAAGTACTTTCCATCAAGGAAAAAAATATGATTAAATTTGATTAATAAAAAACAAACAGATAAAAATCACAAAACACATACTAACAGAGTGAGTCGACGTGTTTTCCCCTTTTTTTTTTTTTAAACTGATGAGAGCTGTTTTAGATGAGGTGGTAGGCAGTTCCAAATTGACGGTCCTCGACAATGCAGCGTTATTGCTGGAAGTGCGACACCTGATGCATAATTATGACGTAAACGTCCCTGCGCTGCTGTTTCGATCCGCGCTATTTGGGATCGTTTGAGGAAATTACACAGATCCTTTTTTCCACCGCACGAATCGACCCACCGAATCACTGACAAATTACATTACCCGACCTCCTCCGGGAAAACTAATCCAGCTCCAATAGGGCTTAAGAATTTCACTAATTAAATAATTAGCACCGACATAATTTATCATTGAAACATTCATCCATCATCCTTATACCCTGAAGAATATGAGTCAGATAACTCTAGCAGTTGTATGCTCGCTGTAATTCATATATGGATTTTAGTGTGAAACAGATTTAAATAGCGAAAAAAAGAATGTATACTGGTATCAGTATCTGCCACAAAAACATGTTAATTATCGTTTATCATTATTGACTCCCTACAATCCCTACAATAGGAGAAACTTCAGAAAACAAACTGTTCAGAAATCACTGCCTGCAGCTGACCTGTATTGTGCATCAGCCTGAAGGAGTCTGAAACACTCCTTATAACTTCAGGAATAATGGGCGGGGCTAAACCACTGCAGGCTTAATAGGTGAATATAAGTAAATATGTTGTTTTTGTGAAAGAAGCAGTGGATTCAAAACAGTACGTTTTGTGCAGTTTAGTGTCCAGTGTCGTATGAAGTGAACAGTATGTTTTGAAACTTTAACAACGTTTGGAAACTACAGTGAACTCTTCCATCAAAAAAAACAAGAAAAACTGAGGTTTACATGAGATGGGCTCTTCAACACAAATTATTAAATAAGCAGTACTCACTTTAAGTCGGCTTCTGCAGCTTTCCGCTCATCCAGTTTTCCTGGAAGCAGAACAAACAGAATCAATACCCAAAAACTACATATACAACTTGTGATTTAGATAAAAATATGAAGGGTCGTTATCAGCTCACCTTTGTCCTTCTTCTTCAGTTTCTTGTTGCGAGTGCCCTGCCTCAGATACGACAGGATCTGGGTGAGTTTGCTGATGACGATGTCATTGGTGGTCAGTGTGGTCTGAGCCTGGGAGAGAAAACACACATTAGATCTATTTAGATAAAGATATGTCCCAAAAGCTTGTGTACTACACCTTGTCTATGTCGTAAGTTTATTTGTCTTACACTGCGGTTGCAACATATGTCCATTTCCAATCATAGGCTACATTGCAGGTAAAGAGCAGATGCACATGCACTCAGGGTCTTTAAGGGTCCTGCAGTTGTGCATGTCAGTATTTTTTTAATCATAAACATGGTGTTACTAAAGTTCAATAAGACAGCATGTTGGAAATGAAAGCAAGGCTAGAGGTCAGTAATTTGATTGCTGTGATTGTGATGTACACTGTGATATACTGTTCTCCCAAAAACAACATTCATTTGCCATTGAAAACCTTTTAATTTAGTTAGGACACTTAAAAGGCCCATATGCTACATTTTTCTTCATTTATAGGTCATAAATTATTTTAACATTCTTTCCAATTTTTCCAATCTCTCTTTATTCATTAGAATTAAACAATGTTTCTGTTACTGTGACTGATATGTTAATGAGCTTTGTTATCATACTGAAACACTCGTGACATCACAGAATAGACACTCTATAGCTGTGTCTGTGTCCTTCTTTTCCATGGCAACAATGGTCCCAACGGGTGGATCCTTTGCTAGCCAACATATCCCGAGCTTCACTGCATGCTGACGAGCATTTGAGAACATGGCGGCGTCAGCAGAGGAGCGAATGGCGGCCGAGGAGTCACTTTAAATGTAAGTGTTGGGTTTAAACTGAGGCGAATAGCTAAATATACAGATGTTAAAAAACCTAATCTCATTACTTGCCGGCGGTGAAGGATCTCCTGCTCTAATAAATGGGAAAAAAAAAAATTAAAATCAGTTTCTGGCTCCATCTTTAAAGAACTTTAAAAGGCGCAGCGTTTTGTGAACCTCGTATCTCCAAAATGGTAACTTTACAGGAGAAGGAAAAAACAGATTTTACTTTTAATGTAAGTCAATGGAACCAGACTTTTTTCCAAGTAATTTTTGGCTGTTTCTTTACGTCCATTCATCATGAAATTTGCATACAATGTAAAGGACAAGAGGTATTTTCAAATTATGTAAAAAAACTGGACAAAAAAAAAACAACAAAAATGGAGATACGAGGTTTTCTTCCGACAACAGCGATACACAGACTCTATGCACCAGGGAGTGAACGGTATGTTTTGAAACTTTAACAGTGTTTACAAATGGCATCAAACTCGTACTGCAAAAATCCAATTTTCCATGATATGGGTCCTTTAAACAATAATGTAACTCTCCAACACATTTTGGGCAACGTGTGCAGGTAGACCTTCGAGAGGGAGCCGGAGGACCATTAGTGGAGAGAGGGTAATGACACCTTGTCCTCTGGCGCCCCCTTGTGGCCAGATTAACTAAGCTCCTGGTTGCCAGAGCTACTTTCAGACCATCCTATACGGTTTTCGGGAAGTACTTAGGCTGAATATGTTTTGCCAGGACCCATCAACCCTGACTAGAGTGGATCGGAGGGTCCGAGGCTGAGCGATCGTGGGGTTTTGTACCTCCATGGTTGGGCAGTCTGCTTTGCTGCGGATCACAGTGGTGGGGATATCTGTGTCTGCGTATTCATCCTCCAGATCCACCACGTACGCCATGCGGCCCGGCAGAAACAGCTCGTTACGCTCCATCTGACGGCCTTTAAACAGGATACGGTAAATGTTCCTTCCTGTAAAGACACAGAATTAGCAGTTTTCCTCGTCACACACTGAGGACATCTAAAATAAGACAAGCCACACCTTCTGTTAACTTAAACACGTGTAAATCTCTGTCCTCAGAACGATCTGATTTGATTATAATTCTTCAGAAAATGATTCAGTGCGTCAAGAAATCTTAAATTTTGTGACAATTTAATTATGTTGGTAAAATTAATTACTTTTAAAACTCACTTTGTGAATACAGAAATGTAACTGAATTAACTATTTACACAGTAGTGCAATATAAACAAATCTTTATTTTTACATTTGAAAAGAGACCTTTTATTTCAGTTTAGATGAATTAATGCAGACTTAACTGAGTAATATTATTAACCCTAATAATGGCTTGTAATATTCCGAAATTGATTAATTTGAATCATTTAAGAAAGATGGTGCGTTTTCATATCCAGAGACTCACCAAGACGGGTCTTGAACTCGATCTTTTGCTCAGGATCTTCATCTTTCCTGTAAAACACGAAGCCAGTGAATAGGGCTGAATAACGATCAGATTTGAAATGCTGAAGATGAAATGCTGCTCTGTGCTGTATTCTGTCATGGTTTCAGACATACTTCACTTCTTTCTGTACTTTCTCTATCATGTCCTCCTCCTCTCTCTCCTTACTGGTGATTTCAGCTCTCACCTGAAAAACAGAAGATCATTTTTAATAAAAACACTTAAGTAATTAGTGTGGTCTTGTTAATTTCCACACTTGCACGCTTTATGAGAAAGTCAATAACATCAACGTTTAGCTGCAGCCTATCATACATATAATGTTCTCACACTAAGTTAAGGTGATAAGTACTCTGTCTGAACAGTTATACACATTTATATGGTTGTCTATTAGTCCAACTAGAAACAAACTGGGGAACAAGACATCAATTTAAAATTTAATTTAATTGGTGGGGCGCCAAGGCATAAGGACACCCACCATGGAACAGAGCAGCAAAGTATATTTCAGAACAGAGCAGAAAAAACGTATATTTTAGTGAAAAGTCTAAATTCCCCAGTTTCCCCCTCTTTTCCCCCAAATGTCGTTTACCAACCAAGACATGTTTACTGTCTGATGTTTCTAGCACTGGAGCAACAAGGTTTGACTAGGCCCTAGTCAGCAGTCCCCGCTCTGATCTTGTGTTTAGTAAGTGATTTTTAACGTCTTATCGACCAGGGTATATTTTGGTTTTTCCATCTGAATTTACATGACCAAATCATAAGGCTAATTATTCAGTAACTGCATGAATAAATGTAAATTTTTATTTTATTCATTTTTTTTTTTAAAGTTCCCCTCAAATTAACAGAACATGTGTTTTATGATCACACATATTGCTATATGCTTACAATTTACTGCTGAAAGCCAAAAATCTTAGACGCTCTTTGTATTATTTCATAAAAATAATTTTTACAGAGCAGATCACTGAAGAGACGCCATCTGTTTATAGTTTATAGCTCAGATTTGTGGAAAAATGGGTCGACTTTCAGTAGACAAAAAAATTGTGAGCTCAGCTTCTTTTATTATAAGGGTTTGAAATTACATCACCCATCTATTTGACTGGAAAGAAGACAGTTACAGCTCTCATATGACCCCCACCCTTTGAATGTAGCTCATGAAATATGAAAGTTATGAAGATTATGACGAATTGCGTTTTGAAACCATCTGTGGTCTCAAGAAGGTTAAGCTTTAACTTGCCTTCTGCAGCAGGGCGAAATCCAAACCCTTCACCAAGTGAGTGTGCTCCATGTCACCACCCAAGAACTTGGACTCCTGGATCAGCTGACGCCTTTTCTCTGCTGCTGATTTATCTCTGTGAAATCAGGAGAGCGCACGTAAGTTTAACACACTCACTCTTCTTTAACTCGCTGCTTTACTGTAGCTAACAGTGACGCGTCTCTTACGCCTCTGCGGTTGGTCCCACTGCTCTGTAGTTTGCCGTAGTGCTGATGAGTTCAGTCTCCTCGTAATCTTTATTAACTCCATCTCTTCTCTCTCGAGCTCTGTCTCTGTACTTCTCCGCCAACTCCCGCTCTCTCTCCAGCTCCTGCTGCCGCAGCTTAGCGTAGTAACTGTTAAACAAGACAAAAAGAGCAGATGAGGAAAGCCAGACAGTCTTGATAATTCTCTTTAAAAAGAACATATATTGGGATTAAACTCACCTTTTCTTCTTCCTTCTGCGAGCAGCAGGGTCCTCATCTTCATTATACTCCCGGGGCATTCTGGGAACGGAGGAAGTACAGAAGTGGTTAAATATCAATCAGAGTGAAACGACTAATCAATGACTCTGATTAGTCAATGATTATGAATTATAAAAATAATCAACATGTCATTTGCCTCAAAGCAAAATCACTCTGTAATGTTGATATGATCCACTAGGGGGCGATACGGCTTCTATTGTTTCATTTAAAAAGCTCTATAATGTTCATATGATCCACACAGTCACTCTGACAGACTGTAATACACTACAGGAAGTGTAGGGGGCGATATGGCTTCTACTGTTTCATTTAAAAAGTGCTCTATAATGTTCATATGATCCACACAGTCACTCTGACAGACTGTAATACACTACAGGAAGTGTAGGGGGCGATATGGCTTCTACTGTTTCATTTAAAAAGCCTCTATAATGTTCATATGAACCACACAGTCACTCTGACAGACTGTAATACACTACAGGAAGTGTAGGGGGCGATATGGCTTCTACTGTTTCATTTAAAAAGTGCTCTATAATGTTCATATGATCCACACAGTCACTCTGACAGACTGTAATACTCTACAGGAAGTGCAGTACTTACTCATGATGGCGGGATTTTGAGGGCGGAGCTGAGGAGGGGGCGGCACGGGGGGTCATCAGCAGCTTCCGGAAGTCTTCATTGGTCAGCTTGGCTCTAAATATGACAAACAGATCATAAGATTCAGTCCTGTAACACAACAGAATGAATTCAGTGGCGATGCTACACCACAGTGACTGTGCTTTAGTGTTGATAGTGCACGGATTTCCACATCTATCGGGGCTAAAAAGGTAGATAAGGGGTGGGGCTTATGGCATCTGAATGCATCCTGTATAGTTCATTGCACAACTGCACAATTTGGCACAAAAACATGCTAAGTTGCAATCCTTCGTTTTGAAATGAAAATGTGTATTTATCTGAGCCAAATCAACCTGCGAGGAATTTAATTAGAATTCTGCATAATCAAGACATTTTTAACACAAACTATCAAAAATCAAGTCAAAAACTTGACCTAAAATTCTTATCAAACCTGAAAATGTACAGCCCACCAGAGCCCACTAGTTTGTTTAAAGCACATTTCACACCAGACGTGGCAACCGCACCACATAAAGAGCTGCGCACTGCCACACGCAATACGCTCCTATATTAATCATTGTGGCCTTTTACACCGGCTGCGTGCGTCATGTGGCACCGCAGCAGTAACATGTGTGAAGGGCAAAAATATGCTTTGGGTCTATTTCTGATGTGGGCCATGCACGGCATGCCAGCGGTTTCTATGCAGAAACAGTAAAGAAAAGCAATGTCTATGCCATAATATACAATATACACTGATCAGGCATAACATTCTGACCACCTCCTTGTTTCTACGCTCATTGTCCATTTTATCAGCTCCACTTACTATATAGGTGCACTTTGTAGTTCTACAGTTACAGACTGTAGTCCATCTGTTTCTCTGCATACTTTCCCTGTTCTTCAGTGGTCAGGACCCCCATGGACCCTCACAGAGCAGGTACTATTTGGGTGGTGGATCATTCTCAGCACTGCAGTAACACTGACGTGGTGGTGGTGTGTTACTGTGTGTTGTGCTGGTCTGAGTGGATCAGACACAGCAGTGCTGCTGGAGTTTTTAAACACCTCAGGGTCACTGCTGGACTGAGAAAAGTCCACCAACCAAAAATATCCAGCCAACAGCGTCCTGTGGGCAGCGTCCTGTGACCACTGATGAAGGACTAGAGGATGACCAACACAAACTGTGCAGCAGCAGATAAGCTATCGTCTCTGACTTTACATCTACAAGGTGGACTGACAAGGTAGGAGTGTCTAAAAGAGTGGACAGCAAGTGGACACAGTGTTTAAAAACTCCAGCAGCACTGCTGTGTCTGATCCACTCGTACCAGCACAACACACACTAACACACCACCACCACGTCAGTGTTACTGCAGTGCTGAGAATGATCCACCACCTGAGTAGTACCTGCTATATAGAGGGTCCATGGGGGTCCTGAGCACTGAAGAACAGGGTAAAAGGGGGCTAACAAAGTATCAGAGAAACAGATGGACTACAGTCTGTAACTGTAGAACTACAAAGTGCACCTATATAGTAAGTGGAGCTGATAAAATGGACAATGAGCGTAGAAACAAGGAGGTGGTCAGAATGTCATGCCTGATTGGTGTATATGAGTAATATACAGACAATACAGACATTTATATTATGTGAAAACGCAACACAAACAGCAACCGCTCTTGCTTTGTGACGTGTGTGTCGAGACTGGTGTGAAGTAACAAGCGTCGCGGAGCGGCTCCAGATTAACAGGCACGCCACGTCGCATCTGGTGTGAAATGGGCGTCAGATTAAGGTGGTGTCCTGCACTTCACCTGCACCTGAGTGACATCATTTCCAATTAAGTCATTCTGGAGCTGCATCACTGCAGTGAACCTGTACAGTGCAACTACAGCACTGGAGATATCAGATCACTGGGTTATCTGGGTGTTATGCCAAATACAGACAGTACAGTAAATGCTAAACTCACTGCAGCGATGAGCGATGATCCTCCACTTCATGGCCTTCCGGGGCCAGAGGGTTGGAGTACAGCTCAGCTGGAGGAGAGAAGAAAGACAGAAGCAAGGGATTTTATTTCAGACTGACATCCTGCTCTCTGAACCAGCCAGAAAATCCAGTAATGATGCTGACAGACACTTTCTGAGAGATAACTAATACTGATGTCTCCACAATGGCTGCAGGACAACACTACATGGTAAATAATAATAATAACAATAGTAATAATAATGAGAAGAAGAAGTTCAATTTATATAGCGCCTTTCACAAACCCAAGGACGCTTTACATAGTATCAAAAAAAAAATCTAGAAGACTAAAGAGAAGAAAAAAGGAAGGTTTTTAGCAGAGATTTGAAGATACTACAAAATACTATAATGCTAATCCTGAACTCTCACTGTGCAGCTAAACATTTACCTACCACTAACTAACCTATTAATGCCTATATCCGATATGTTGCGTCCATATGATACAAATTTGAAGAAATATTTCATATCGACTTAACTACGTGGCTAAAAAGTGAGCTTAATTTATCATTAACTTCATGGAACGACTAACTTTTAATATTTTTAATTTTAATCAAAAAGTGACTGTGAATACAAGTATCAAAATCAAAATGTAATCCAAAAAATAAAATCTAATTTTACTGTAAGATGTTAAGATTAAGATGTAAGATTCCAGTGTATAACAATATAAGTAACAATACATGTCATTACTTTAGACCAGGGGTGTCCACTCTTGTCCGCAAAGGACCAGTGTGGGTGCAGATTTTCGTTCCAAACAAGCAGAGCACTGCACTCGTTTAATCAGTCAGTCTCAGTCAAACTGATCTTGTGTGCTCCTGCTTTGTTGCAACGAAAACCTGCAGCCACATCGGCCCTATGCGGACAAGACTGGACACCCCTGCTTTAGACCAATAAAAGCAAGTTCTGTGGCACCACACTAAACTTAGCTGATGGAAATGAATAGGTTAATATGGAGTATTAAATAAGGATAAGTAAGGAAAAGCTCTGCGTTAATGCTGTATTTTGGTTATTTCCTTTTCTTCGCTTCTCTCTTACATAAATTACATGAACCATATTGCTGAAGCTAAAGTAGCTTATTCAAATTTTTCACCTTAAAGGGGAATTCCACCATTTTTTCCAAAGTTTCTGCATAATTCAGTGTGTGAGAGGTAAACAGAGAGATTCAGAGTGGTTTGGTGTGAAATGGTTCAGATGTCTTTACAGTGGTGGTGATAGGAACCAGGGGTCGCCATGACTACAACACAAATACAGACATTTTATTTACTATCCAGAACCACCAGTGAACCTACACGAGTCTTCTGAGTTTATATGGAATGGAAAAACTGTGGAAAATCTGGAACTATCTGGGAATATTTCGCCTTAGAAGGCTCTGAATTTGCCCCTCCACAATCAAAAGATTTTGGTTTTAAGGCCAGAATCTTCTCAAAACTATCCTAAAACAGTGTCTCAATCATCAGGCAGTGAATTCATAACCATTTCATGTAGTAACTTTCTGTGAGGGAGCTTTTAGAGCTGGACGTCTGGTTCCTATCACCACCACTGTGAACAGTTCTGACTCGGTAAGTTTATCTAGAACGGAGCGTTTCACACCAAACCACTCTGAACGACTCTGATTACATCTGAACCGTTTAATTATGCAGACATTTTGAAAAACTGGTGGAGTTTCCCTTTAAACAATGCAATTTAGCCAAGATGGAACGAGAAATTCGCATTAGAAGCCAGATAACTCGATTTTAAACAAAAGACTGCTAATTACACAAATACTAAAGACACTTTTAAACATTAATACGATGTTACAGCCATTCAGAGGGTTGTTTATCCTGTATTTTAGGAGTATGAAGCCCAACTTCAGCCTCATACTGTAGGTTAGCTAGTTAGCTTAGCGTCTTTAGCTTAGCATTACGGTAAACAACGCAAACAAACGCCTCGACTCAAAGTACATAAGTGCGATTCTGTCACCACTTACTTTCCCGTTCAGGCATTGCTGCGGCTGAAATCTCACTGCAGTCCGAATTTTATATCTTATTTCGCAGTTTTTCAACGGAAAGAGAGACAAAAACAACACGACTAGCTAAATGCGTTCGCAGCTTCTGCAGAGAGCCGCTGGTACTGCTGCCCCCTACAGCGCTGGAGGACGACTCACTCATCAAGAGGTGGGCGATACGGCAAAATGCAATATCACGATACTTTAGGAGGTTTTTTACGATACGTGATATGTTACGTGAGGTACGGAGCCCCGCTGGTGACATCCTGTATAAATGAAAATAATGCGTGGCCACGACTGAGTAAGGCGTGGGAATGAGATGATTAAGTCGTGAGATCACGGCTTACTAAGTTGCGGCCACGCATTAGGATCTCGTTCCCACACATTAATAAGGCGTGGCCACGCATTATTTTTATTCATATTAAGTATAAAATGTGAATATTTTTCTAAAGTAATAGATGATTTAAATTATAAACATTTACATAGAAGCATTTCATGGTGGATCCATTTCATGTAGTAACTTCCTGTGAGGGAGCTTTTAGAGGTGGACGTCTGGTTCCTATCACCACCACTGTAAACAGTTCTGACTCGGTAAGTTTCTCTAGAACAGAGCGTTTCACACCAAACCTCTCGGAACGACCCTGTTTACATCTTAACCATTTCATTATGCAGACACTTTAAAAAAATTGGTGGAGTTCCCCTTTAAACAATGCAATGCAGTACGCAGCTTCTGCAGAGAGCCGCTGGTACTGCTGCCCCCTACAGCGCTGGAGGACGAATCACTCATCAAGAAGTGGGCGAATATTAAAAACTATATTACTTCATCTGTTCTAACTGATGAGTTAGAACTCCAGTCCAATTTGAAGTCCAATTAAAGGACTAATTACACTCTGATTATAATCAAACATGCAGCTGTGAAGTGTTTTTAAATACTGACTCTATCCAAGATGTACTCAGAAAAGCACACTCTGAAATATTGTGATGTTTTATGATTTATCACGATAACACTACATATTGTCACATTGCCCAGCTCTAATTACATCTGTATATAGATATATAGATAGATAGATAGATAGATAGATAGATAAATAGATAGATGGATAGATAGAACTTTATTGATCCCGAAGGGGAATCGCAGTGTTTCAGTAGCAAGACATATAATTTCACATAAACTTACATGTACTATGCAGAAAAATAAAAAAATAGAAATAAAAATAGACAGAAGTTAGGTATAAGAATAGAAATAAAGTATATCTATTTGCATATTTACACAGCATATGAGACAGTTGTTGTATTTACATGATGGCAGGCACTGAGTGGGATGAGCTAAACTAAAAGCACAATGAGTTTAGATATCAGTTTGGTCTGTGAGTGGCCTTCACTCTTTCCACCTTCTTCAGGCTCTGCTCTTTTATTTCATCTGACACATTAGCAACTACCAGGGATAACAGCCTAGCAACACCTTACAACCACCTTTTATACCATAGCAACAGCCTAGCAACTCCCTGGGATATCATAGCAACAGCCTACCAGCACCTTAGCATCCATATAGGATAACATAGCAATGCTTTTGTCAAGCCCTTTAGTATCAGTACCTGACCTCACTAATGTACGGAGCCCCGCTGGTGACATCCTGTATAAATAAAAATAATGTGTGGCCACAACTTAGTAAGGCGTGGGAATAAGATCATGCCTTACTAAGTTGTGGCCACGCATTAGGATCTTTTTCCCATGTCCTGCTAAGTCGTGGACACAACTTAATTATCTCGTTCCCACGCCCTACTAAGTAGTGGCCACGCATTATTTTTATTTATACAGGATGTCACCAGAGGGGATCTGTAAGATCTCATTCCCACACCTTACTAAGTCGTTGCCACTACTTAACTGTCTTGTTCCTACGCCGTAGTAAGTCGTGGCTACGCTTTAGGATCTCGTTCCCACGCGTCAATACGGCGTGGCCACGCGTTATTTTTATTCATATGGGATGTCGCCAGCACGGCTCCGTATAAAGCTGTTATTTGGTAGGTGCAGCTAGTCGGTATGTCCGCTAGGTGTCAGCAGCGCGGCTCGGCGCTCTCTGTGGAGCTGCAGCCGAAGCAGCGCTGAAGGTGAGAGTGATGGCGGCGGCGAGGGCGATCGGTTCTAATTTGGCTAAAAATCTGCGGGAAATCCGCCTCCATTTCTGCCAGACCTCACCTGCGAGCCAGGGAGCCAGGTAAACAACAAACACAGCACGGGCTTAACCCGTTTTAAAGCTCCTAACCTGCCAGAAAGGCGGGTTTTAGTCCCACCTGCTGTCACCTCAGCGCTAATTTTCCGTTCCACCTTAAATGGTGCAGCGGTTAGTCCAGCGCCTGAATGTAACTGCTGCACCATTTAAGGTGGAACGGAAAGTTCCAAGTGATAATAATTGCAATGAAAGTAATGATTATAGAGTGATTTTAATCCAGTATGAATCTGCAGTGTGTGTAGTTTTACAGTCTGACGGTAATAATTGTGGAGCGATTTTAATCCAGTATGAATCTGCAGTGTGTAATTTTACAGTCTGACGGTAATAATTGTGGAGTGATTTTAATCCAGTATGAATCTGCAGTGTGTGTAGTTTTACAGTCTGACGGTAATAATTGTGGAGCGATTTTAATCCAGTATGAATCTGCAGTGTGTGTAGTTTTACAGTCTGACGGTAATAATTGTGGAGTGATTTTAATCCAGTATGAATCTGCAGTGTGTGTAGTTTTACAGTCTGACGGTAATAATTGTGGAGCGATTTTAATCCAGTATGAATCTGCAGTGTGTAGTTTTACAGTCTGACGGTAATAATTGTGGAGCGATTTTAATCCAGTATGAATCTGCAGTGTGTAGTTTTACAGTCTGACGGTAATAATTGTGGAGCGATTTTAATCCAGTATGAATCTGCAGTGTGTGTAGTTTTACAGTCTGACGGTAATAATTGTGGAGCGATTTTAATCCACTGTGAATCTGCAGTGTGTGTAGTTTTACAGTCTGACGGTAATAATTGTGGAGTGATTTTAATCCTATGATTAACTGTTCTTTCTCTCGTTTTCTTTTAATCGTGAGTACATTTTCTTTAATTTATAGGTACCTTCTTTTAATTCGTGATCATAATTTCTTAATTCGTTCTCGTTTTCTTTTTAATTGTGTGTGCTTTTGTTCAAACAAATTAAATGCCGTAGATACAGGTCGTGTTATTTGTCCTGTGCAGAAGCAGCCAACAGCTCCCTGAGACTGTCTGATGGATGGAGATGCTCATCAGGTCTGATTTTGATTTGGGGGGGGTTATGAAGACACCGTAGCTCCTCTTCACAGCAAACGGCCCACAGATTCATCAGCGCAGCTGCAGTTTGGTGGTGAAATGAAGGAAGACAATAAACTACAACCACAGTCTTCACTAAACTGCACTTTCTTATGATTATATATAACAGAGATACGGACACAGCGCATCAAGCTGCAGTGTTAGAGACCATCACACAATTACAGGAAGAAATGATCAGCGTCAACATTAAACACACAGAATCATTCCTGTAGCTCGCATTGTTCATTTTAGCCAATTTTCATGGTTTTATTTGCAGTTTTTATTATATATAGTTACATAATACTCTATTCTTTACAACAAGTGTAGTTAAATGAAGATAATAATGTTCATTTAAACTTTGACATCATGGTGTCAAATTACCTTTGAAATACACATTTATATATTATTCTCTCTTTCATTTCATTTTTTAACATTTATTTTATATTAAAAATTGAATAGAATGAATCTATTAAATTCTCTCATTGTTAGACCTCATGATGTCAAACCTACTCAGAAATATTCTTCTCTATATACTACAAGACTTATTGTGGTGAACGGTGAAGTAATTCATTTGATAATGATTTTAATGGTCCTTTAAATGTATTAAACTCTCGCCATTCGATTCATTTCTTCCTGTAATTGTGTGATGGTCTCTAACACCGCAGCTTGATGCGCTGCGTCTGTATCTCTGTTAAATATAATCATAAGAAAGTGCAGTTTAGTGAAGACTGTGGTCGTAGTTCATTGTCTTCCTTCATTTCACCACCAAACTGCAGCTGCGCTGATGAATCTGTGGGCCGTTTGTTGTGAAGAGGAGCTGCAGTGTCTTCATAAACCCCCCCAAATCAGAATCAGACCAGATGACCATCTCTGACCATCATCTCATCAATCTAGCACATCAAAACACATCAGACAGTCTCAGGGAGCTGTTGGCTGCTTCTGCACAGGACAAATAACACGACCTGTACCTACGGCATTTATTACAAAAAAAAACACCTAAAAAAACAAAAAAAAACAATGTGCGCACAATTAAAAAGAAAACATGAGCACAATTAAAAGAAAATGAGAGAACGTGTTAAGAAATTGTGGTCACAAATTAAAAGAACGTACCTGTGTTAAATAAAATGTGCTCACAGTTGAAAGAAAACGAGAGAAAACATTTTTAATTGTGCGAATGAATTAAGAAATCGTGACCTCGAATAAAAGAAAATGTGCGCACGAACTGCAGAACATTGACTCAAATTATTATATTTTTTTTACCTTTTTCTCCTCCAGGGCTCCATAGATGAGAGATATTTTCTTGTGCTATAAAGGGAAAAACAATAAGTATACATACTGTTTAAAACTACCAACGTACTGACTGACTTGATCTTTTACAGTCTGACCATATAAAACTAGTATCAGTGTAGATTATAAACTGGCTGTGGCTGCTGGAGACACGTAATCATTCATTCTAACATATGAAATGATGTTTGATTTGATTTTGAACAGGCAGTTTGTTGAACAGTACTATGTGCCGCTGAAGAAGGCGAACCCTGAATTCCCCATCCTGATCAGAGAGTGCTCTGGAGTTCAGCCCAAACTGTGGGCCCGATATGGTAAGACCAAAACATAATAAGGATCAGGTTTTTGTTGGAGCTGCTTTATTTTACTGCCTTGTTTTTTTAATTTAAGGGATTATCATAATTATTATGAATCTGCAGTGTGTGTAGTTTTACAGTCTGACGGTAATAATTGTGGAGCGATTTTAATCCAGTATGAATCTGCAGTGTGTGTAGTTTTACAGTCTGACGGTAATAATTGTGGAGTGATTTTAATCCAGTATGAATCTGCAGTGTGTGTAGTTTTACAGTCTGACAGTAATAATTGTGGAGCGATTTTAATCCAGTATGAATCTGCAGTGTGTGTAGTTTTACAGTCTGACTGTAATAATTGTGGAGCGATTTTAATCCAGTATGAATCTGCAGTGTGTGTAGTTTTACAGTCTGACAGTAATAATTGTGGAGTGATTTTAATCCAGTATGAATCTGCAGTGGTCTTGGTGTATACGGGTGTAGAAATGATGCACTGATGACTTGTCCTGCTTTTTTTCAGCGTTTGGTAAAGAGCGAAGTGTCGCGCTGGACAACATGAATGCAGAGCAGGTGGCAAAAGAGCTCGAGAAAGTCGTCAACTTAAAGCCATGAGCCTCTTCTACGTGTTTCCTGCTTCTTGTTTGTGTAAAATTGTAATTATTATATGCAAATATGTGTTAAAATAAATGATAACCTCAAACTACAAACTTGGGTTATGCATTTTTAACTTTACTCATCATGAAGATTGAAGCATTTTTATTTCTGTTTTTTTTTCTGGCTTGCACAATAACGTACAAACTTTGTTTACAGAAACAACTGAACAGATTGGACGCTGCCTGGCCACTTTATCAGAAACCCCTATCTTGTTGGTGTGCAGTTAGAGTCTCTAGAACATCTGTTGATGCACAGTTTGTGTTGGCCGTCCTCTGGCTCTTCATCAGTGGTCAGACCACAGAGCTGCTCTTGGCATTCTTGGGATACTTTTGGCTGGTGAACAGTCCACTCTCAGCCTAGTATGTTATATACAGTAACTCTTACTAAACTCGCTCTCAGGTGGTTTATTCATTTCTCCAAGTATTTTTGGAAATGACAAAAAATTATTCCATGAAAAATAATAATATGCACTGTTTTGGGTGTTAATTTTATACTCTGAAGGTGGGGCTCCCTCTGCTGGTCATTATAGGGACTTCGCTCTGCAGGTAACGCTCCCTCTGCTGGTGATTATAAGGTAGAATATAAAAGAATAGAGATTATTTGACAAAATCCTGAAAATAATGAAAAATAAGGCACACTTAGTGTGAGAGGTTTTTACATGTTTGATATTTTTTCCACTAAATCAACTTGATTATGCCTTAATATGATCAGATGCTGAAAACCAACAAAGGAAACATGATCATTTGGATGTAAACAGTTTGAAAGACTGTAATACTGTTATCTGTAAAAATGGACAAAAGTATTAATTTCAAGAATTCATTTTTCAACTTTGCTGCTACTGTTAATATCTATGCCAGGGGTGTCCAAACTTTTTTCAAAGAGGGCCAGATTGTACTGTGTAGAAATACCCGAGTGTCAAACTATTATTCATAAATGATTTAAAATATTACGTTTTCAAAATATCAGCACATAGAAACTGAGCTTTCTGTGAGCTGCTGTGTTTCCTGTCACTGCATAAAAGATGCATGAGGCTTCTTTTATTGTTGGAGTGTTCGTTTAGAACAGTTTGGATCAATAAGCGCTTAAAATCAATAATTAAATTGAGTAACAATACAACGTCTGATGTTTTAAACATATTCCTATTTCTGTGTTTACTGGTTGAATTTCCTTTGATAAGAAGTTTTCCATCTTGCCAAAATCGCCAGTTCTCAGTGTTTAGTTTGAGCTTTACACCGATCAGGAATAACATTCTGACCACCTCCTTGTTTCTACGCTCATTGTCCATTTTATCAGCTCCACTTACTATATAGGTGCACTTTGTAGTTCTACAGTTACAGACTGTAGTCCATCTGTTTCTCTGATACTTTGTTAGCCCCCTTTTACCCTGTTCTTCAGTGGTCAGGACCCCCATGGACCCTCACAGAGCAGGTACTATTTGGGTGGTTTGGCTGCTGGAGTTTTTAAACACTGTGTCCACTCACTGTCCACTCTATTAGACACTCCTACCTTGTCAGTCCACCTTGTAGATGTAAAGTCAGAGACGATAGCTCATCTGCTGCTGCACAGTTTGTGTTGGTCATCCTCTAGTCCTTCATCAGTGGTCACAGGATGCTGCCCACAGGATGCTGCCCACAGGACGCTGCCCACAGGACACTGTTGGCTGGATATTTTTGGTTGGTGGACTATTCTCAGTCCAGCAGTGACACTGAGGTGTTTAAAAACTCCAGCAGCACTGCTGTGTCTGATCCACTCAGACCAGCACAACACACACTAACACACCACCACCACGTCAGTGTTAATGCAGTGCTGAGAATGACCCACCACCCAAATAGTACCTGCTCTGTGAGGGTCCATGGGGGTCCTGACCACTGAAGAACAGGGTAAAAGGGGGCTAACAAAGTATCAGAGAAACAGATGGACTACAGTCTGTAACTGTAGAACTACAAAGTGCACCTATATAGTAAGTGGAGCTGATAAAATGGACAATGAGTGTAGAAACAAGGAGGTGGTCAGAATGTTATGCCTGATCGGTGTGTATATGTAGTCTTGACTAAATGTAGTTCAGTAAATGAAGCTGCAGATCTGGTCAGCTGCCACCATCAGATGAAAGGAAGAACTGCAACATACTGGCTGGAGGGCCGCATAATATACACTGTAAAACAGAAGCCGGGGGCCAATTAAACTCTGTCTGCAGGCCGCATTTAGCCCTTTAGTTCATGTTTATAGACAACAGTGAGTCATACAGTGTCAAGAAACCACACAATCAAATCTACTGGAGATACTGATACTTAGGGCCATGCTAATTGGTGGTGGTGTAAGCTTGGCTGAAACTATAGAAGCAAACTTCAGACACTAAACATGCCTTGGCTGAAGTGGGAACTGACGTTTTTGGCTGAACTTTCAGTGTAAGTTTAATAGCTGCAAGTCATCGGATCCATTATAATGCAGGAATGAAGCCACGTGTTGGACGCAGTCGAGCAGCAGCAGCGAGTTTGAAGAAGTCCAGTGAGAATCACAGTTCCAGGAACTCCTGATCAGAGCTAAAGAGCTCTGCTGGGTTCTTTTTTATCTGGAGCTCCTTTCTGCTGCTGCGTCAGGACCTTCTCAGCTTACAGTGAGAGATGATGGCTGTAAACCTCCTTTATCCGAAACCAGATCAGAGCTCTGCAGGAGCCGAGCGGGAGCCAGAGGAGTTTTCAGCTGAGTGACTGAGGGCGCTTTAAACTCCCGACATAGTTCATAGTGAAGTGTTTATGTGGGGAAGTTTGCACTGTAAACTTCAAACAGAGAGGCTACTTTTAATTACTTTTTCTAAGTAAATTAACTAATTCATTTCAAGTTCAGTCTACACTCTTAGCAAAAATGGTTCTATATAGTACCAAAAAAGGGTTCTTTGGCTTGTAACAACAGTGGAACCATCTACAGCACATTCTCCATCAATCTGAAGAACCTTTTCACGATTGCCGAGTTGAACAGCTGCCCATCCTGTGAGTCTGATGCTGTTGCTTCATCTTCCTTGATCGGGTGCCCACTGCTCGCCTGTCTTCTTGACCAGTTTGACCCTTCTCGCTTTATAACGCTGGACAAACCTCACCTGCATGAACTGACCCTCCTGCTGCTGCTGCCTAAACCTTAAACTATCTAATTAATCATTGCTCCGCCTGTTTTTCCCCATTTTGTATTTTAATATTTTATATTAACGCTGTTTCCTATCCGGTGTCGACCAGAGGAGGATGGGTTCCTCTTTTGAGTCTTGGTTCCTCTCAAGGTTTCTTATGGAGTTTTTCCTGCCACTGTCGCCATTGGTGACGCTCATGGGGGCTCGGACCTGGATTTTTTTGTAAAGCTGCTTTGTGACAACACCTGTTGTAAAAAGCGCGATATAAATAAACTTTGACTTGACTTAACCGAGAACCCTTTAATCATGCAGAGGTTCTTTGAGTGTTCCTTGTTCTACATAGAACCATTTCTTTACTAGAAACCCTTGAAGAACCACCTTTTTTAAGAGTGTACAGATTTGATTTTACCCTAAAGCTGCACTATGTAAGTTTTGGGTATTTGGAGACCTCTCTGGTGGAAATGTGTAATTGCACACTGTGCCTTGACCCCCTTTCCTGAGCGGATGATTCTGCTGATTGACAGAGAATTCAAAGAGAACTCAGTCTAAACTTGGTGAAGGAGCGTCTTCTGAGGATGTGAGTGAATTATCTACTATTGTAATCATATCATTATCAATATAATGTTGATTTTGAGATCATTTGAGGCCGAAACATCGAGCCGGACCTTCTTTTTGAGGCTGTACGTGTGACGTTAATACGTAAAGACGTACGTTGTGGTGTGAAAAATTCGACGCCTCTGACTGTTAAAGGATTATTTCAGGCTTTACAGGGCGACTCGCAGCAGCAGACACACCATATTTTAGCCTGTCTATATTCGCCTCACTCAGTACATTCGTCTCACTTCATCTTACACAGTGCAGCGTTATGAAAATTGTTACGTTTTCTATCTATCTGTCTCTCTGTCTGTCTATTTATCTATCTGTCTGTCTGTGTCTGTCTCTCTGGCTGGCTATTTGTGTCTGTGTGTCTGTCTGTCTGTCTGTCTGATTCTGATTTGGATTCTCATTAAGATTGTGATTCTGATCCAGATTTTGATTCTAATTCCAATTCCGTCTTGGACCTGTCTGTCTGTCTCTATCTATCTATCTATCTATCTATCTATCTATCTGTCTATCTGTCTATCTATCTTTCTGTCTGTCTGTCTGTCTGTCTGTCTATCTATATATCTGTCTGTCTGTCTCTCTGGCTGGCTGGCTATTTGTGTCTATCTGTCTGTCTGTCTCTCTGGCTGGCTGGCTGGCTATTTGTGTCTATCTATCTGTCTGTCTGTCTCTGTCTCTCTCTCTGGCTGGCTGGCTGGCTGTCTATTTGTGTCTATCTGTCTGTGTGTCTGGCTGTCTGACTGTCTGATTCTGATTTGGATTCTCATTAAGATTGTGATTCTGATCCAGATTTTGATTCTAATTCCAATTCTATCTTGGACCTGTCTGTCTGTCTATTTCTATCTATCTATCTATCTATCTATATATCTGTCTATCTATCTATCTGTCTGTCTGTCTATCTATCTATCTATCTATCTATCTATCTGTCTGTCTGTGTCTGGCTGTCTATTTGTGTCTATCTGTCTGTCTGTCTATCTGATTCTGATTTGGATTCTCATTAAGATTGTGATTCTGATCCAGATTTTGATTCTAATTCCAATTTTTATTAAGACTCTATGAAAATTCCGACCCTGGTCCTGATCCTCTTTCTGATTCCGACCCTGGTCCTGATCCTCTTTCTGATTCTGACCCTGGTTGTGATGGTATGTCTCAGCAGACTTTAGCTGGGATGTTCTGTAAAAGTCATAAAGATCTTTATGAAGAGGTTCTCAGGGAAACATCTGCTCTTCCAGCTCACATTCAGACAGACTGTTAAATCATTAGTTTTCTGCTCTGTACTGTAAGTTTAGAGCAGCTTTCAGTGGGTTTATCTGTGAATTGGACGGCTTTTTATAAATAAATCATCTTCTTTTTCTTCTATTTCGAAACATTTCCAGTGATTTTTTTTAAAGGTGCTGCAAAAACAAAACAAATGTTCTTCGGGAAAGTTCAAAGACGTCATGTTCAGCCAAGTTTCTGTACCACAGCAGAATCAGAGACATTAAAGTAAAGACGAAAGTTGTTTATAAAAACAAGCGCTGAACAGATTCTGACTATCAAAGCCCAAAATCCGAAAGCTGAAGTTCTTCAGGAGTCAGGCTGGAGCTGCGGAGCTGCTCTGAGGCTGGAAGGCATTTGGCTCGCTCTGTGTTTGGATGCAGAAACAGAAGGAACAGATCAGGAGAAAAATAGGGCAACACGCTCGACTGAGACGAACAGCCCCTGCGCAGAACTGAGGGTTAACCCCCTCATCTCCAACACCTCAGGCAGTGTGAGGAGGGAGAACCCCACAGAACGTCGGCTGATTGGTCTAAAGTGCTGAGATTTTATAGTTATTTCCTGGATGAACATCTAACAGTTCATATTAGATTTTTTAATTAAATGCACTTTTCATACTTTTATACACAATTAAATTAGGATCTTCTGTTGTTCTGATAAAAATCAATAGTTTCACCAAAAGACTGAATATGTAATGATCAAATACTAAATCTCAGTTTTTAACCAAATGACTGATCGATTTGAAACGTTTCTACAGATTTGAGCTCAGAGCTAAATTAACATTTCATATACAGACATATATATTTATTTGTGTCTATCTGTGTGTCTGTATCTGTCTATTCGTGTGATATTCTATCTGTCTATCTAACTGTCTGTCTGTGTGTCTGTTTATCTATCTGTCTATCTGTCTGTCTGTTTTTCTGTCTCTGTCTATCTGTCTGTCTCACTGCCTGTCTGTCTATCTATCTGTCTGTGTCTGTCTATTTGTGTATCTGTCTATCTCTCTATCTATCTATCTGTCTGTCTGTTTGTCTCTTTGTGTGTCTGTCTATCTATCTATCTGTCTGTCTGAGGAGCCTGGCCACTTCCTATTTCCCCCGTTATATCAAAAACAAGACTGCTAAACAGCAGAGGGCGCCCTTGAGTGAGTCCTCAATGAATGGGAGTGAATGGAGTTAAAAACGTTAAGTTAAAATAGTTTCTAATCACTAAACCAGAACTTTCCTTTAATTTTAGAAAGTAGAAGGATGGATTTCACTACAAAAGTGAAGAAATCTCACCTGTATGTTTCCTTTTTCCTACAGCAAACAGGTTTTGGGCAGCAGGACGCTAACGTTACTGCTGCTGAGTGCTGATTGGTTGGCGAGCGGAGCAGCTCATTGGCTGTTCGCGCTGACTGACGTCATGAACGTACACGAGGGGCCGTTTTAAACTCCTATAACTCCAGTTTAAAAGCTCTTAAAAATGTAACAGCAGTGTTCTTTCATTAAGATGATGATAAACGAATAGCTCTACAAAACATGCTAGAGTGCCTAACAGTGAATGGACACATAGTAGCCACCAATTAGCGTGATATAATTTGCATAATGCTAATGTCCAGGTACAGTGCTTTAAAGAGAAAGCAGAAACTGAGGTAAATAAAAGTAGGTGTTGTTCACTCTGCTGCTCTTTCTGTTTAATTTATTCACCACTTTGGTTTTACTGCAGCAAAACAAGACATGTTTAGGCAGGTGAGGAGCAGGAATGATGCTGTAAAAAGCATTTATATTCACTGCAGGACTCTCACTGACTCTCACTGACAAGCTAAACACTTCAGCTGAAGATTTACGCTCTTTCCTTCCAAAGCTAGCTAATTTTTTAACCATATAAATTTAACGAAACACACTCAAGTGTCGTTACCGTCACCAATGACAATGTTGAGACTGAACAAAAAGCTTATTTTTTACCAAAAACATCAAAAAATATTGGCACCTCCAAAGGTTTAAAACATGGTTTTTACATGACTAACTCCTCTTTAAGGGTCTATCCGAAAACAGTAATTCAGTTGGTGCTGTGTAGCAGCTTAGTTTTGCATGTCATGGTCAAATATGTTAAAGTGATGAGAGGATTACGACATGGCAACAGGAAACAAGAACGTGTGAGCTAACATGGCTTAGTTATTTGAAATGTTTGGACTGTGCAGTTAAACACTAGCTAAAAAGACATATGACTTTATAGCAAAGTCTTATGTACATTTAGCACTCAGTAGCAGTAATGCTGACCAATCAGCACTCATTAGCAGTAATGCTAACCAATCAGCACTCAGTAGCAGTAATGCCAACCCATCAGCACTCAGTCGCAGTAATGCTGACCAATCAGCACTCATTAATAGTAATGCTAACCAATCAGCACTCAGTAGCAGTAATGCCGACCCATCAGCACTCAGTAGCAGTAATGCTGACCAATCAGCACGCAGTAGCAGTAATGCTGATCAATCAGCACTCATTAGCAGTAATGCTGATCAATCAGCACTCATTAGCAGTAATGCTAACCAATCAGCACTCAGTAGCAGTAATGCCAACAAATCAGCACTCAGTAGCAGTAATGCTAACCAATCAGCACTCAGTCACAGTAAAGCTAACCAATCAGCATTCAGTAGCAGTAATGATGACCAATCAGCACTCATTAGCAGTAATGCTGACCATTCAGCACTCAGTAGCAGTAATGCTAACCAATCAGCACTCAGTAGCAGTAATGCTAACCAATCTGCCCTCAGTAGCAGTAATTCTAGCCTATCAGCACTCATTAGCAGTAATTCTAGCCTATCAGCACTCAGTAGCAGTAATGCCAACCAATCAGCACTCAGTAGCAGTAATTCTAACCAATCACCACTCAGTAGCAGTAATGCTAACCAATCAGCACTCAGTAGCAGTAATTCTAACCAATCACCACTCAGTAGCAGTAATGCTAACCAATCAGCACTCAGTAGCAGTAATGACGACCAATCAGCACTCAGTATCAGTAATGCTGACCAATCAGCACTCGGTAGCAGTAATTCTACCCAATCAGCACAAAACCTGATTGCTGTAGAACAATGAAATTATACTACTTAAGGGAGGTCATTCATAAATCGCTAGGAACAATTCATTTTTAATTTTTAGTCTTTTAGCTCCATTCCAAAACAGCTTCACTCAGCACAAAACTGGGTAAAGTTTGTCTCACTGAGCCAGTTTAAATGGATGAAGAATCAAATCTGGGCGAAGTCGAGTGGTTTTGGAGTAACATATTTTGGGTAATGAACTGAATCTCTCTAGTCTGTTTTTATTATAAATGTTTAATAAGCTTATTTGCTTTGTCTCATGTGGTCATTACAGAGCCGGTTTATGAGGAGCCTGGCCACTTCCTATTTCCCCCGTTATATCAAAAACAAGACTGCTAAACAGCAGAGGGCGCCCTTGAGCGAGTCCTCAATGAATGGGAGTAAATGGAGCTAAATGGCTAAAAACGTTAAGTTAAAATAGTTTCTAATCACCCAGAACTTTCCTTTAATTTTAGACAGTAGAAGGATGGATTTCACTACAAAAGTGAAGAAATCTCACCTGTATGTTTCCTTTTTCCTACAGCAAACGGGTTTTGGACAGCAGGACGCTAACGTTACTGCTGCTGAGTGCTGATTGGTTGGCGAGCGGAGCAGCTCATTGGCTGTTCGCGCTCACTGACGTCATGAACGTACATGAGGGGCCGTTTTAAACTCCTATAACTCGAGTTTAAAAGCTCTTAAAAAGGTAACAGCAGTGTTAAAATGTCTTATGCTGCTCTGTGTTCAGGAAATGATTGTATTCTTGTACATTAAAAATGTTTAAGGATTTATAAACTATGATTTTGCTCAAATGCTCCACCTTAACGCATTAAATTTTGGACTCGCTCGGGAGCGCCCTCTAGCGTTTGAGAAACCCAGAAGACATTACAGAGCGGTAATTCTCCTCTCTACAAGTTCTCTGGTCATTATTCTTGCCCATTTGCAAAAATCATAAGACAGCATGCAGGGTAGGAGGAGAAAGAGGCGGGGTTTGGAAACCAGGAGGTTTACAATTTGCATAATCATACATATTCATAACTCTCTGCATTATTAATGAGGGTTAATGTTCAGGGACGCTTCTATGCCGTTGTCACAGGAGCAATACATAAACATATTTAACCACTCAGTCATTCAACACAGATTGTTTTTATGGTTTGAATGATTATTTTAGGGGACGTGCTGCAACATTGCAAATGTATGTGTCACATAGATGACCAGCTAACTGTGCTCAGTGGGAGGAGCATTAGAGGAATGAACCAAATGAACCATCTAGATCCAGGAGTGAGCTGAGAAAAGAAGGAAGCTGAAGCTTCTCTTCGGACCTTTCCGTTCCACCTTAAACGGTGCAGCATTTAAGGTGGAGCGGAAAATTCGAACAAGGAGCTGGCGAATAGGGAGCCAACTAAAGCTTCGTGAGAAGAGAGAGAGAGAGAGAGAGACAGACAGAGAGACAGACAGACAGACACACGTTTTCAGTAGTAATCGTCCTGCTGAGAGAGTGAAGGGAAAGATCCATAAACCCGTTTAAGTTGATACTTTTCTGTTTTATTTCCGGTCAGTTTTTTTTTTCTCGGTCGTCTTCACTGAGTCTCACTCCTCACTGCAGTGTTTACTCTAAAAGTTTACGACGGAAGTTCTGGGCGTTTTTGCTTTAGCTGAAGCGCTTCGTAGCCTGTTCACAACTGGGTAGAACCGGACCGGTGGTCAGTGAGGATGTCCGTGCTCGCTGGGCTGTGCCTGGTCAGCCTACTGGACTTCACTCTGGGCTCGTGGCCGTGGCTGAAGCCCAACCAGGTGGATGAAGGTCAGCCCAAAAGGCCCAAACAGCCCCCCCACATCATCTTCATCCTCACTGATGACCAGGGATTTAATGATATAGGATACCACAGCACTGACCTCAGGACCCCCACACTGGACCGGCTGGCCGCAGAGGGGGTCCGGCTGGAGAACTACTATGTCCAGCCCCTCTGTACACCCTCCAGGAGCCAGCTCATCACGGGCAGGTAACATACATTACTATATACTGCTTCTCAAAATATGCTATGCCTGCTGAAAAGACCAGCAAGGGTGGTCTGTGGTGGTCTACACTGGTTTATGTTGGGCTAGTGCAGGGCTGGGCGATACAGCAAAAAACAATATATCACAATATTTCAAGACATTTTCACGATACATGATATGAATCATGAGAGTTTTTCTTTTTTTAGTTTATTTTTAATTTTTTATGCAAATTGTAAACCTCCTGGTTTCCAAACCCCGCCTCTTTCTCCTCCTACTCTGCATGCTGTCTTATGATTTTTGCAAATGGGCAAGAATAATGACAAGAGAACTTGTAGAGAGGAGAATTACCGCTCTGTAATGTCTTCTGGGTTTCTCAAACACTAGAGGGCGCTCCTGAGCGAGTCAAAAAAGAGTGGGTTAATATGGAGCATTTGAGCAAAATCATTTATAAATCCTTAAACATAGAACCATGAACACTCAAGGAAACTTTTGCATGATTAAATAGTTCTTCGCATCATGAAAGGGTTCTTCAGACTGATGGAGAATGTGCTGTACATATCGATTTTGAAAAGGGTTCTGTATAGCACCAAAAAGGGTTCTTCTATTGTTATAATTTTAAGCTTCTTACAATAGAGGAACCCTTTTTGGTGCTGTAGATGATACCACTGTATTGATGGAGAATGTTCTGTAGATGGTACCACAAAAAGGTTCTATGTAGTACCACCTACAGCACATTCTCCATCAATCTGAAGACCCCTTTCATGATGCGAAGAACCCTTATATGATGCATAGAACCTTTAGTTCTTTGCATCATGAAAGGGCTCTTCAGATTGAATGTGCTATAGACAGTTCTATATAGAACCTTTTTGAAAAGTGTTCTATATAGCACCTGAAATGGTTCTTCTCTTGTTATAAGCATGACATCATAATAATAGAAGAACACTTTTGGGTGCTATATAGAACCATTTTTCAACTGTAGAACATTCTCCATCAAACTGAATCATGCAAAAGGTTCTTTGAGTGTTCATGGTTTTATATAGAACCATTTTCTTTACTAAAGAACCCTTGAAGAACCGTCTTTTTTAAAAGTGTAGTTTTATTTGAAACAGACAAAATAGAACCTGTAGTGTCACAAATAAAAAATACTATAATAGTCATAAACCTACAACTTTAGTGATCTTTATTGAACGTCTTACAAACTGCGCTGTGAGAGAAAATATTCTCAATATATGTTATTTTCCCTTATGTTATTTTCTTAAGGTCTAAACCATTTTCACTGTAGAGAGCAAATGGCAGAAGTAGTGATAACTGTCACACTCTCACCTTGCCCCCTCCCTCCTTTGTTTGTATTTAAATGACCCTTCGTCTCATGACCTTAAGGTGATACTATCATCCCCCCCCCCTTATCTCTGCCCCTACATCTCTATTCATACCCCCGTCAACAACCCCTCCTTACCCCTCCTCAAAGTCCATTTGTTCCCCCTTCCCCCTCTTTAGTTTTTCAAAGTATATAAGGTCCTTCCAAAATATTCTTGTTAGACTGGACTGCAGACTAGACTGGACTGGTGACCAGACCAGACTGGTGACACACTGATGACCAAGCTGTGCCCGTGCATGATTGTCTGCACGTGAATAAGACTAGACTCCTGATCCTGCTGATTGACTGCTGATCGACCACGCTGTACCCATACTCTGTATGTGGAAATAAACTCCAGTCAACGCTGAAGCTCCAGTCTCCTGACTCTTCTTGCCAAATTTCTAACAGCTGCACTAAATCCAATAAAAGAGGTAATTATACTCGTTAGTCAGTGCTCATTAAGTACTGACGATATCAATAATATGCTCAGAAAAGTGTATTGTGGTGTAATTTATCATGATGTTGATAAAATGTCATCATATTGCCCACACCTAGCCTAGTCTAGAGCAGCATACCAGCATTCAGAATCAACATATGGTGGTTTTTTGGTGGTCAGTTGGTCACCCAGCATGGTCATGCTGTTGACCACCTTACCAGCATCCAAAATCAACATATGGTGGTTTTGGTGGTGGTCAGTTGGTCAGCATCCAACTGACCACCATATGTTGACCACCTTACCAGCATCCAAAATGAACATATGGTGGTTTTTGGTGGTCAGCTGGTCACCCAGCGTGGACATGCTGGTTGACTACCTTACCAGCATCCAAAATCAACATGTGGTGGTTTTGGTTGTGGTCAGTTGGTCACCCAGTATGGCCATACCGGTTGACCACCATACAAGCATCCAAAATCAACATTTAGTGGTGGTCAGTTGGTCACTCAGCATGGTCATGCTGGTTGACCACCATACAAGCATCCAGAATCAACATATGGTGGTTTCGGTGTTGGTCAGCTGGTCACCCTGCATGGTCATACTGGTTGACCACCATACGAGCATCTAAAATCTAAATATGGTGGTTTTCTGGTGGCAAGCTGGTCAACCAGCATGCCCATACCAGCATCTAAAATCAACATATGGTTGTTTTTGGTGGTCAGCTGGTCACCCAGCATGGGCATGCTGGTTGACCACCATACCAGCATCCAAAATCAACATATGGTGGTTTTGGTTATGGTAACCATAATAGCTTCCATTTCTGCTGACCAGCATGCCATCGTCTAAAACACAACATATGCTGGTTTTGCTGGTGATCAGCAATGCTGGTCTGTGCTGGCTTTTCCAGCAGGGATGTGAGTCAAAGCATGAGAATTACCATTATCTTAAAGGGGAATCAGAATCAGGAGGCAGAATTATTACCAGTGGTGGTGATAGGAACCAGATGTCTACCTCTGAAAGCTCCCTTGCAGAACGTTATAAGATAGTAAAACAGTCCCCAAGCAGTTATTTTTACAGATTTATCACTATTTTCCATCATCAACATTCCATATAAACTCAGAAGACTCGTGTAGGTTCACTGGTGGTTCTGGATAGTAAATAAAATGTCTATATTTGTGTTGTAGTCATGGCGACACCTGGTTCCTATCACCACCACTGTAAAGACATCTGAACCATTTCACACCAACCCTCTCTGAATGACTTGCACTTTCCTCAGTTGTAACACTAGAGAGGCCCAGGGAACTGTGGAGATGAGGGTATAATATCACTGATATTACTGTTAATGTTGTTTTTTGTTGTCTTAACAGCAATGAAGTTTGGAAACTAAGTATGAAGAAATTCACTTACACAATCATAAACTCTATATACCACCAAAAATATATGCCAGAAGTTTGAAATCATGGTTTCCAATAATCTAAACCTTATTGCAGGTAAATATCTAAAAAAAAGTTAATTTATGATGCCATTCATAAGACGTTTATGATAATCAGTATGAAGCTGTAAAAAAATGCAGAAATGTTAGACGTATCAGAAACTGACTGAGAAAACTGTAAAACATTGAGAATAATGTCCTAATAAAATTAACAGCCAGAATGCCTCATAGACCGATCAGGCATAACATTCTGACCACCTCCTTGTTTCTACACTCATTGTCCATTTTATCAGCTCCACTTACTATATAGGTGCACTTTGTAGTTCTACAGTTACAGACTGTAGTGCATCTGTTTCTCTGATACTGTGTTAGCCCCCTTTTACCCTGTTCTTCAGTGGTCAGGACCCCCATGGACCCTCACAGAGCAGGTACTATTTGGGTGGTGGATCATTCTCAGCACTGCAGTAACACTGATGTGGTGGTGGTGTGTTAGTGTGTGTTGTGCTGGTATGAGTGGATCAGACACAGCAGTGCTGCTGGAGTTTTTTTTAAACACCTCAGTGTCACTGCTGGACTGAGAATAGTCCACCAACCAAAAATATCCAGCCAACAGCGTCCTGTGGGCAGCGTCCTGTGATCACTGATGAAGGACTAGAGGATGGCCAACACAAACTGTGTAGCAGCAGATGAGCTATCGTCTCTGACTTTACATCTACAAGGTGGACTGACAAGGTAGGAGTGTCTAATAGAGTGGACAGTGAGTAGACACAGTGTTTAAAAACTCCAGCAGCACTGCTGTGTCTGATCCACTCAGACCAGCACAACACACACTAACACACCACCACCACGTCAGTGTTACTGCAGTGCTGAGAATGATCCACCACCCAAATAGTACCTGCTCTGTGGTGGTCCTGTGGGGGTCCTGACCACTGAAGAACAGGGTAAAAGGGGGCTAACAAAGTATCAGAGAAACAGATGGACTACAGTCTGTAACTGTAGAACTACAAAGTGCACCTATATAGTAAGTGGAGCTGATAAAATGGACAATGAGCGTAGAAACAAGGAGGTGGTCAGAATGTTATGCCTGATCGGTATATATAAACTTGCCAGTTTATGAAACATTTGTTAGATATAAGTGGCTTTCACTAATGACCTGAGGTGTGTTTGAATGGTTGGATGCATTTAAGTTGTCTTTGTCTGTGCAGGTATCAGATCCACACTGGTCTTCAGCACTCCATCATCAGGCCTCGGCAACCCAGCTGTCTTCCCAGGAACCTGGTGACTCTGCCACAGCGGCTACAGGAGGTGGGTTACTCCACCCACATGGTGGGCAAGTGGCATCTGGGCTTCTACCGGAAAGACTGCCTACCCACGCGCCGAGGTTTCCACACCTACTTTGGCTCCTTAACTGGAAGCGTGGATTACTACACCTATGGCTCCTGTGATGGCAAGTCCCTGTGTGGTTTCGACCTCCATGATGGTGAATCGGTAGCATGGGGAAGAGCGGGAAAATACTCCACTCACCTCTACACCCAGAGGGTGCGTAAAATCCTGGCCACACACCATCCGGACCATCAGCCGCTCTTCATCTTCGTATCTCTGCAGGCGGTTCACACACCTTTGAAACCACCCAAGTCCTACATCTACCCTTACAGATCCATGGGCAATGTTCCTCGCAGGAAATACGCCGCTATGGTGTCCATCGTGGACGAAGCCGTGCATAACATCACCTACGCCCTTCGTAAGTATGGCTACTACCGCAACAGCATCATAATCTTCTCCACTGATAATGGAGCCCAGCCGTTTACAGGGGGCAGCAACTGGCCTCTGCGAGGGCGCAAAGGCACCTACTGGGAAGGGGGAATTCGGGCAGTGGGATTCGTCCACAGCCCCTTATTACGGCACAAACGGAGGGTAAGCAAGGCTCTCCTCCACATCACTGACTGGTACCCAACCTTGGTACGGCTTGCTGGAGGCAACACCTCCCAGGACCAAGGGCTTGACGGGTACGATATCTGGCCTGTGCTTAGTGAGAACAAAGAATCTCCCCGGATGGAGATTTTACACAACATTGACCCTCTCCACCGGCGAGGACTCGGATCCCAACAAGCAGGTCAAGGTCTGTGGGACACGGCTGTGCAATCAGCTATCAGAGTTGGAGACTGGAAGCTTCTGACAGGTGACCCAGGCCACGGAGACTGGGTTCCTCCCCAGGTTTTGACCAGTTTCCCCGGTGGCTGGTGGAACCTGGAGCGAGGAACTGGAGAAGGGAAGAAATCCGTGTGGCTCTTTAACATCACGGCTGACCCCTGTGAGAGGAATGACCTGGCTGCCCAGAGGCCTGGCGTGGTCAGGAAACTGCTGGCACGCCTGGCGTCCTACAACCGGACAGCCATACCCGTCTGCTACCCGCCAGACGACCCTCGTGCCAACCCTGATGTGAACGGTGGAGCTTGGGTACCCTGGGTGGGCGACGAGGAGCAGGAGGGCAACTGGAATGGCGTCTATTACAAGAGGGGGAGGAACCGCAAGAGGAAAAAGTGCAGGCTCTGCAAAATACGATCCTTCTTCAAGAAGTTGAATTCGAGGATCATGTCAAACAGGATATGAGGCACTGACACATCTGCCTGGATATTGTTCAGCACCAAACATTTACAAACCGTGCTCGGTGCAGTAGAACCATCCAGGTGGGATGGCTTAATGATGTAGATATTCACTGATTGGTTTTAAGCTTATTTACACCTCTCTTAAAAATAAAGAGGTTCAGTGAGTGATGCCATATAATAAACACTTTCGGTTCCCTAAAGAACCTTTTAATTTTTGTATAGTTATGTAGTTTAAAAATCCTCCAAATAATGTAAAGATTCCTGGAAGAATCATTTAATTGGTACACTCTTAGCTAAATTGGTTCTGTATGGTACCAGAATTAGGTTCTGTGACTTGTAACCATAGCAAACCCCTTACTGGCGATATATAGAACAGTTCTCTAACCAAAATGTACAAAAGGTTTTCTGTCATAGAGAAGAATCACAGCACTTACTCAGTAAAGCCTCAGTAAGGGTTTTGCTATTGCTACAAGTCATAGAACCTTTTCTGGTACCACATGGAGCCCTTTTTGCTAGGAATGTACCAATTGCAGGATACCAAAATGATTTCTATGACTTGTAACAACATCAGAACCCTAACTAGTACTGATCCATTTTATATAGTTCTTTAAAGAACCATATTACACCACGCAGAGAACTTTTAAAGCATTGTCACGGTTCTGTAAATAATGATTGCCTTTACTAAAGAACCCTTGTATGCCTTTATGAAGGGTGTATAGGACTTTAAAAGGTTCTTTTTCAAACATGGTTGTTGATTCTTTAGGGAAACGAAAGTGGTTCTGTGCCATCGCTCAAAGAACCCTTTATAGCGCCTACATCCGAGTGATGACAACAACTGCCACAAATGTATTGATGCAGGTTGTCACTGACCCACTGCATCAGTTTCCATCACCACCATAGTTTTATATCGGTACTTGCAAAGAACCCGTATCCATTCAGGCGAGTCCGTGCTGGAACAGAAGACGAGAGCTTTTATTTTTCTATCTGAGCCTTCGCCTCACTTTAGAAACGAAGACGATTGTCTAAAACTGTTGGTTTACTGTGGTAAAATACAGGGCTGTCTGAGTCACAGCTGGAGTAAATATTGTCCTTCCAGAGTCTGAGCAGCTACATTAAGCAACGCTCAGAGAAGACAGTGCTGTAAATGACTGGAGACAGAGCTCAACAGGGAGTTCTGTGACTGAACTGTTGTATCAGAGCCAATAGCAACAATGTGAATTCACATTCAGTTCCTCCTGAGCACCAGTGGCGTCTGATTTCATGCTGTATTTTGCACTCACACTTGGTGGACAACGTTATTATTGCACCTTTCGGTCTTCTTTTCTGATACTGTTTACTGGAAACACAGCAAAAACAGCTGCACATGCACTTATAACCTCACACTGTACTGCGCGTCCCTGTAAGTTATGACTAAAGAGGACATTTGTATAAACCCAGTTTCAAAAAAGTTGGGACAGCAGGACAAATGGAAATAAAAACAGACTGCAATGATGTGCAAATCGTTTTCAGCGTGTATTCAGTTGAAAGATCTTTAATGTTTCAACTAACTAACTTATATAAACTGTATCTAGTATCTTGTCAAGTGAAATGCGTTTAAATCTAGTCGATATATCTAATATTTCTTATTTTGAGAATTTGGCTGGTTTCAAGCGCATTTCTTAAAAAAAACAATCATCTGCCAATATTGTGAGATAAATTCACGTAGTAAAACCATATATATATATATATATATATATATATACATATATAAAATTGCTGCTGTCAGAGCAAAACCTTATATCTCCATTCTTGTTGTTTTTCAGTTTTTGACATAATTTAAAAGTACCTGTTGCTCTTTACATTGTGTGTAAATTTCATTATGAAAGTACCAAAAGAAACGGCCCAAAATTACATGGAATATATATATATATATATATATATATACATACACACTGATCAGGCATAACATTCTGACCACCTCCTTGTTTCTACGCTCATTGTCCATTTTATCAGCTCCACTTACTATATAGGTGCACTTTGTAGTTCTACAGTTACAGACTGTAGTCCATCTGTTTCTCTGCATACTTTGTTAGCCCCCTTTTACCGTGTTCTTCAGTGGTCAGGACCCCCATGGACCCTCACAGAGCAGGTACTATTTGGGTGGTGGATCATTCTCAGCACTGCAGTAACACTGATGTGGTGGTGGTGTGTTAGTGTGTGTTGTGCTGACACGAGTGGATCAGACACAGCAGTGCTGCTGGAGTTTTTAAACACTGTGTCCACTCACTGTCCACTCTATTAGACACTCCTACCTTGTCTTGGCTGGATATTTTTGGTTGGTGGACTATTCTCAGTCCAGCAGTGACACTGAGGTGTTTAAAAATTCCAGCAGCACTGCTGTGGGGTGGTCATAATGTTATGCCTGATCAGTGTATATATGTGTGTGCGTGTGCGTGTGCGTGTGCGTGTGCGTGTGTGTGTGCGTGTGCGTGTGCGCGTGCGCGTGCGCGTGCGCGTGCGCGTGTGTGTGCGTGTGCGTGTGCGTGTGTGTGTGTGTGTGTGTGTGTGTGTGTGTGTGTTTTCTAATTTTGATGCCTGCAACATATTCCAAAAGGTTGGGACAGGAATGTCTTCACCACTGTGTTACATCACCTGAACTGTTGGACTGTTTGAGCATTTTTTTGGCAAAGTGGGCTCTTCTTAAACCACAGTCACCTGTTACCTGGTCACCTGTTTACCTGTGGAAAGTTCTGAAACAGGTGTTTTTGATCATTCCACAGACTTCCTAGTCTTACACTGTCCCTGTCCCACCCTCTTTGGAATGTGTTGCAGGCATTGAATTTAGATGGATTTGGATTTAGTGTATTAAGTGTCTCTTTGTGCTGTTTTCAATTAAAAACCTGTATAAAAGCAGTTTTTACAGATCACTGCTTTCTGTGTTTATTTACATTTTACCTACTGTCCCAACTTGTTTGGAGCTGGGTTTGTAGATCGCTTGTCGCTCTTTGAATACTGAGTACTGACGGCAGGTGGGGATGGATTGCACCCGAAACATACATCTTATTCACAAAGGTTGAGACTTCTGCTGTTTTTGTTACACTGTGTGATCAGATTTGTTTCATTTTCAAACCTTCATTCAAGAGATTAAAGCCACTTTGGGAGTCCATCACTGGAATATTACCACTCAACTATTCATTTCGCTAAACTGGTGGAAATTTGGTTTGATTTCAAGTGCGCTGTGGGTAATTTCCCAGCTTCATTAAGTTCTAGTCAGGGATTTAAATGCACACTTACTGAAATTGGTGATATCATTTTTCATGTTTTGCTGGCCCGCCAAATAGAGGTGGGCAAAATGACAATATTTTATTGTTATCATGATAAAAAATGCTTTTCTGAGTTTATTGTGGATATTGTCAATACATAAAAACACTAAACTGCATGTTTCATCACAAAGAGAGCATCACTGATCCTGTTTAATTGGATTTAGTACAGTGCAGAGCAGTGAAACTTAAAATAAAAATCGTCGTTTTTATTGTGTATCGTTAAAATGTCTTATAATGTACCTTTATATTACATTTTAGCCCTATCACCCATCCCTACATAGCAGTCGATACAGTGTGTCAAAATTATAAAATGAATATAATTATCAAACAGACCCACTGAGAATTTATCTGCTTTCCATTGCTGGAACAGGATGCCACCTAAGGCTGGACGATATTTTAATGATATCGTGATAAATTACATTACAATATACATTTCTGAGCGTATCGTGGATATTGTCGGCATTTAGAGAGTGCGGATAATTTAAAAAACGCTGAGACCTACTGCATATTTCATAAAAACGAGCATAATGAGGCCTGTGTAATTCGATTTAGTGAGTAAAAATCACTGTATTCATATTTTTATTGGCAATATTTGAACACAACATTACGGGTGTCTTGTGTCTGTTAAAACAAAAAAAAAAAAGTATCATCGTAAATATTGTGTATCGCAAAAATGTCTTCAATTACCATGATTTTGTATTTTTGCCATATGGCCCATCCTTAATACCAGCATTAGGCTGGATGCTACAGCTATCACAATAAGAGTCCCTGTAATTCTACTGTTCAAATGTAAGATAACTTGATTTACTTGAAGCTTACTTGAAAAATTTTACTAAACATCTGACCTTTTAATAGGCTATTCCTCCTCTTCTTCTTTGGATAATTATTTTTATTAGTGCTCTGCATGTGAAGCAGGTTTATATCCCAGGGTTCCACTTGTTTCATACCACCAGAAGCGTAAAAGCCTAGTAAGTGACATAAAAGCATTTACGCTGTTTTTGTGCCGTCTTGTCTTGCATTATTTTAAAAAATGGTAATAATCAACTTTATTTTGCTTACATGGTCGCCAGTTAAGTGGCTGACTGGCTAATTGATCCTGACTAACTGAGGCAGCAATACAAGTGGAGCGGCTAGAGCAGATGGGTCAGGATGCCGACCATATGTTGCCTTCAGGTCCTCCTTGGAAGACTTTGGAGGTCGTTAGTAGGGCTTGATTTGTGTTCAAGTGGTTTTGGTTGGAAGTTTTTATTTTTGGTTTACTTTTGTTTTTCTGTTATTAAAGAGAGTCTGTATTTACGTTATATCTGTCTTTTCATGCGTGGATGGTTTCAGCCTTCAGGGTTAAGATTGTGGCTGATTAATAACTGAAATGCAGCCAGTTTATCAGCAGCTATCGTTGTTTTCGTTGACGCCCCCAACTCGGAAACTCAGGGCTGATTGAAACTCATTGAGTTTCCCACTAGTAAATATGACGTTGTGGTGGCGTTCATTGCATCCATCTCGTAAATATGATATTTCCCACAGGACTTGAAGGCAACATTAATCCTGTTCTGTAGTGTTTTGATCTCTAGGCTGATTGGCTAATGTAGTGTCAGCTTAGCGAGGAGGCTACAGACCCGAACAGAGCCATACTCCACAGTACAGCTGTGATTGTGTATAACTGCTGCTGAGATTTCAGCAGGCAGGGCCAGGCTTGGGGGGTGGGGAGGTGGGGTGGTATTACAGCTAATTGATGCTAAAATGCTTGTTTAGAGGATACAGGATGTTCCAACTCTAGTATAGCCTCCACAGTAGACACTTGTATGACACAAATGCCCTGCAACCAATGGCAGTCCAGTAAAACTAGAGAACTTGTAGAGAGGAGAATTCCCGCTCTGTAATGTCTTCCGGGTTTCCCAAACACTAGAGGGCGCTCCCGAGCGAGTCCAAAATGAATGGGTTAAGATGGAGCTTTTGAGCAAAATCATAGTTTATAAATGCTTAAACATTTTTAATATAAAAGAATGCAATAATTTCCTGAACACAGAGCAGCATAAAACATTTTAACACTGCTCTTATATTTTTAAGAGCTTTTAAACTGGAGTTATAGGAGTTTAAAACGGCCCCTCATGTACGTTCATGACGTCAGTGAGCGCGAACAGCCAATGAGCTGCTCCGCTCGCCAACCAATCGGCACTCAGCAGCAGTAAGGTTAGCGTCCTGCTGCCCAAAACCCGTTTGCTGTAGAAAAAAGGAAACATACAGGTGAGATTTCTTCACTTTTGTAGTGAAATCCATCCTTCTACTGTCTAAAATTAAAGGAAAATTCTGGTTTAGTGATTAGAAACTATTTTAACTTTGCGTTTTTACCTGGTTAGCTTCCTTCACGCGCATTCATTGAGGACTCCCTCGTGGGCGCCCTCTGCTGTTTAGCAGTCCTGTTTTTGATATAATGGGGGAAATAGGAAGAGGCCAGACTCCTCATAAACCGGCTCTGGTAAAACTTGCTTAGTCTTGTCTGATGTTGATCTTACAGACAATGAGCTAATCACATATTAGCATGCTAATATGAGGATGACTATGGATCCACAAAAACAGTATAGTTACTTAAATTTAATTAGTATTTTAAACACCAGCTGTCTGTGAATCTGAGAGCAGCAGATTGTTAACAGGTGGCTGATCATCTACACATGTTCTGCAGGTGATGGGCGGCTGTGCTTGCAGTGACATAGTGTGAGAGCTAAATACCTTAAATGCTTTTAAATTGAATTTAAATTTAGACTGTTAGTTTTACAGGCACCTATTCAGAGTGTGTATGTTTTCTGTTGTACTGTAATGTGCAATGATGACTAATCAATGCCTTAATAGTTTTTACTATTTTCCTCAATTTAGAATAGTGGGAACACCAGAACAATGAAATCAGACACTTTATGCATTTAGGCATAAACCTTTAGATAAAAAGACTATGAAGAACATATTTATTCAGTCAAACCACAATTTGGACCGGGGCTGTAAATGGTGGTCCTGGCAGGGTGTGTACTGCGCTGCTGTTTTGTGCTGGAGGAGCGGCTCTGTAAGGAAACAGGGCAGATGGCTGGATCTGTTCAGTCCAGACTGAGGATCCAACTGTGGGAACCATAGAAGGTTCATTTTAAAATGGAAGTGCAGATGGCCAGAACTTAATGTAACGTTCAGTAATTATATTTATACACTGTTGTTCAAAGGTTTGGAAACACTTCAATAAAATAACCAACTGCATAATAATAAAAGATGAAATAAATTCATAAAATGATTCCAATAGGATGCTGGTGCTCCACAGTTTCACAGCTTTCAGATAATCAGTATGAAGCTGTAAATAAAAATGCGTAAGTGTTAGATGTGTGATGATGAACA